CCTACATGCCAGTGAGTTGCTGTGTAAAAGATGTTTTATATTTTACAATGTGGTTGAGGGGATAAGACTTATATGGGTGAAGAAATCATGGAACCTCTCAATTTTGCATTCTGAGTAATTACAGGGCCACCTTAGGTAAAAACATATTTTAGGTGACCTGTCTGTGAAGATGTGAGTTAAGAAGAAGACAAAGGCAGTATGACTTCCCACGTACACACAATAGGCAGTTAGAGAAGGCAGGGGCTGACTCTGAGCTCTGTGAATTCAGCACATAGTATTTTAGAAAATATATATGTTTCTGGAGAGAAATGACCTCATACTTAAAATAATAGAGACAGTTAGGAGCTGAGATCAGTGCATCGAATTATCATTACCAACATCATCAGAATCAACAACAGCAGATGTTCTTAAGTGACGCCCACAGTCATGTTCTGCGTTAAACCTCTCCCATCACTCCAGTCTTCCACTCCTATCATCCCTGACTTTGGAGCCCAGCATTGCACCCAGTGACAGTCAAGACTCAATACTCACTGACTGTCAGGAGTTGTTCTATAGTGTTTACTCTTTATCTCATTCATCCCCAAAGTGGAGCCCTCTGTGACTAGGTTGTCTCCCCTAGTGATTCTGAGCTCCCTCACACCTGGCTTCCTTTCCCTTCCTCTCTGCCTTCTAAGCTCCTTATACTTACATAAATCCTTGTGTTTTTAGGTCTTCTTTTCCCTTCATGGTTTCTTTATATAATGAACATGGCTATCTCTATATAGCCTTCTTATATATCTTTTCCTGTGGATGTGGGTGTGGCTATAGACATTATCCTTTCTGGAAGCTTCGCTCCCTGAGCTGGTTTTTCTAGGTGGTCTTTATCTGTTAAACATGGCTGCTTCTTTGAACTTTGTAGCATATGTGAGTTTACCACTTCGCCTGCTTCAGAGCAAATCTCTGGACATTGCTGCCAGCCAGGCTCATTGTGTATCCTTCACCCCACTCCTCTCATTTTTGGAGTGATTTCAGTATCCATATGGGGGTCCTTCCATAACCCTGGACTCTCAGTTTCTTTGTTTTCATTGACCTCCTCCTTCCTCTCCCTCAGCTTCTTCCATAGGGAACTCATCTCCTGTCAGATGAGGATATGGTTTGGGAAACATACTTTTATATAGTACTTGACTTTAAAACATGAGTCCATATGATATAAAAAACTTAAAGAATAAGATAATATTCTTTAAGAAAAATATAGTTTTATTTAAAGTAAAGTAAAAACAATCCTGCAGCATTTATTGTCATCTAGTAATAACATAAGGATAATCAAAGCCATATGAGTAAATGTTTAGGAGCTATATTTTAATCAAAGGACACCTAGAAAACACAAACTGCCCTGCCTTCTCAACCATTTTTCACTTCATGAGTCATTTCTAGTTCGAGACACTTCAGAGAAGAGTAATATTATCTCTTTTTAGCATGATTGCACCAGTTGTTTTCTTGATTTTGTTTTAGAAAAAATCTCTTCTGCATCAGCAAATACAAGGTTAATATACTTGCCAAAACCCCAGAGGGCTGGGGCCAAATATACAGCCCTCTGTCCACATATTCACTTGCTCATAAAGCCACACCTGAATCTGAGATCCATTTTGCAAGCAAGTATCTGAAGATGAGGTTGACGGACTGCACAATCATTTTCTGCACTTCTTAGCCCCAGCCACAAGTACACCATGGTGGAAGCTGACAAAGACCAAACTAAGCCACATACTACCTCAGAAAGCTACTTCTGAAATTGCTTTCTGACTAATTTTTTTGGTTTTGTTTTTACTATTTTTAAGTTGTTTTCTTATTGATTCAGTGTTCACTTGGTAGCTCTAAACCTTTGACTATTTTTCAGAGTTCTAACAAAGTTGGACCTCACAGCTTTTGCTTGCTTTTAATGTTTGTGTGGAGAGATATGCATTTGGAACTGGATATCCACCATCTGGCTGATGTTACTCTCTCCTTTCATTTTGCTATGGACCCTAGACATCAAAACTGGCCCTGTTTCTTCTCCTTGATGCAAACTTGTCATGTTTTTATCAAGGCTGGATTAGAGAGTCTTCATTTGAAAGTGAGGGCTAGCACTATATAATTGTCAAGATGTTATGAAACTCTATTTGTTCTTCTATGACTCATTCTGACTGGCTGTGTATATTATTGGTGTGATTTAGATTTTGAATCCAGATGTATAAAGCTAAAGAATAGCTTTAACTTCATTTCATTTACTTTTGAAATTGTGATGCTATAAAATTCTCTGCATTATATGAGCATTGGCAAATTACACAGTTTTATAGCAAATATGAAATTCAATATAGAGAGCAGTTTGATCACCTTCCCTAAATTTTTCTCGTGCCTCTTTGTAAGCCAACTTCTCCCCCATCTCCAGTTCGTGGCAGACACTGACCTCATGTTGTTTGTATAATTTTGCCTTTTCACTTATATAAATGAAATAATAAGGTATGTTGTCTTTTTAGTGTGGTGTCTCTAACATAGAATAACTCATTTGAAATTCATCCATAGTATTATGTGTAACATTAGTTCATTCCATTTTATTGTTAAAACAATACTCTTGTATTAATTTACCAAAATTTGTTATCCATTTACTATTTGGAAGGAATTAGGTTTGTTTTCATGTTTTGGGAACTATTAATAAGGTGACAATAAACATTTGCATGCAGACTTTTGTATGAATAAATTTTCATTTCTTTTTGATAAATACCTAGGATTGGGAGTTCTAGGCCTCATGTTAAGTACATATTTATTTTTCTAAGAAACTCAAAAACTGTTTTCTTAAATGACTATAAAATTTTGCATTCCATCATCAATGCATAAATGTATTAGGTGCTCATATCTTTATCAATACTTGGTAATAACATATAATTAGTGGACATTCGGCACATAGTTTGTACAAATCCTGTTTAAGATTTGAACCTTGACTCATTTACTGAACCCCATGTGGCATGACCACCTAGGCTACCAAGGCAAGAACATTTATTGTTGGCAGTACATCTACAACACAATTATTTTTTAATGCCTTATATTCTTTTTTTTAAAGATTTTATTTATTTATTTTTAGAGATGGGGAGGGAGGGAGAAAGAGAGGGAAAGAAACATCCATATGTGGTCGCCTCTCACATACCCCCTACTGGGGACCTGGCCAGCAACCCAGGCATGTGCCCTGACTGGGAATTGAACCATTGACCCTTTGGTTCACAGCCTGTGCTCAGTCCACTGAGCCACACCAGCCAGGGCCACCACTCAATTATTGAACCAATAAAACATGATAGTATTTTTATGTGTTAATTCTATAAACCAAAAATAGAAACAAATGTTATGGGCTATTTGAACCCAGGGACTTTGTCTAAGCATGGATGTATTGGATAAGACCAAATTTCAAGGACCTTTTATTGTGAGCAAAATGTCTCCATGTATGTTTTGGACAGACCAAATGTCCGGCAATGTGTCATGTTTGTTTAAGCCATTGTGTTAAGTGTGAAGTGTTATCTCCTTTGATTTTAATTTGCATTTCCCTAATGCCTGATATTGTTAAACACCTTTTCCTGCAGTAATATATGTGTATGTTCTGTTATGAATTATCTTTTTAAGTCTTTTACCTAGTTTTTCATTAGATACTTTGTTTTTCATTGATCTTGTGTGTTCTTTAGCTATGTTGGGTACAAATATGATTTTTTTTGTCAGAAATGTGTGTATGACTTATAATTTTATTTTCTTTACATCTTTAAGAAAACAGATGTTCTTTATTTTACCAAATTACAATTTAATAATTGTTTTATAGATGATTTTTTTGTATTGGATTTAAGAAATCTTTGCTATTAAATAAGGATAACAAAGATTTTTTCTCTACATTTTCTTATTACAAAGTTTATATCTCTCGATTTTGTATTTATGTTTTTGGTCCATTTTAAATTAATAGTAATTTCTAAAATTTATTTATTTTTAAGATTTAGTTTTGGCATCATGAAAAATAAACCAAGTCTTATTTTGAAAAATGTAATATTACAAAATAATTTTCTTTTTGAAACTCTTTTTTAAAGATTTTATTTATTTATTTTTAGAGAGTGGGGAAGGGAGGCAGAGAGAGTGGGAGAGAAACATTGATGTGAGAAATATTGATCCATTGCTTCTGTATGTGCCCTGCCTGGGGACCAAAGCTGCAATCCAGGCATGTGCCCTGAGGCTTTGCTTTGCGGGATGATGCCCAACCAACTGAGCCACACTGGTCAGGGCTGAAACTGTCTTTTTAAAAAACTGCCGTGTTGCTAAATTCATAGTATTTCATTAACTTTCCAGAACTTACTCATCTAGAATAACTGAAAGTTTGTACCCCTTGACTGGAATTTCCCCATTTCTCCCTGCCCGCAGTCCCTGATAACCACCATTTTGCTCTCATCTTCCGTGAGTTTGACTATATTAGATTCCACGTATAAGTGAGGTCATATGGTATTTGTCTTTCTCTGTCTGACTTATTTCACTTGGTATAATGTTCTTCAGGTCCATCCTTGTTGTTGAAAATGGCAGGGTATTTTTCTACTTTTAAAGCTTAAAAATAATCCATTGCATGTCCTTTCATGGACAGTTACATTATTTTCATATCTTGACTATTATGAACAATGCTATAATAAATATAATGTAGGTATCTTGTTGAGATTTTGATTTCATTTCCTTAGGATGAATACCCTGAAGTAAGATTGCTGGGTAGTATGGTAGTTGTGATAACAATACTATGCTTTATACTTGAAATTTGCTAAGAGGGTAGGTCCTAAGTATTCTCATCACAAGAAATAAGAAGAAAGTGACTATGTGAGGTAATGGATATGTCAATTAGCTTGATTATGGTGTTATTTCATTATATATATGTATATCAAATAATCAAGTTGTACATTTTACATATATACAATAAAATTATTATCACAATTTTTATAGCAAAAAAGTCACAGATATGATTTATTTTTGTCTGTCAGGTGAGAGTATATGAATTTTGCTTTCAAGTTCGAATTAATTTCTACGAATCTTCAGAACTGTACACTGAAAATCATGTGTTAAATGCTCCTATACCTCCAAATACAGTACCACTTATTCAACCATGTTATGTTCAAGCTGTTGGTATGTAATGGGAATCATTCTAGTGGTGTGCACAAACCAGACATTTACACTTCAGGGGGTAGTGAGGGTAGAGGGGGTCAAATATATGGTGACACAAGAAGTTTTGACTTTGGGTGGTGGACACACAATACAATATACAGATGAGGTTTAATAGAATTGTACACTTGAAACCTATATAATTTTATTAACCATTGTCACCCCAATAAATTTAATAATTTTTTAAAGATAACATTTTTTTAGCAGGTAATAATATCTTCTCTATTGTAGTTTGAAAGATTCCAACAATTTCAAACTTTAAATAGAATAGCTATTTTCTTACGTATGAGTGTTATGATATGTAATCTATGTATTTCCTTTATTTCCATAATTCTTTTTATGTTTCTTCTCATTTCTGTACTGCATTGGTCAAACCCCAGTATGGAGATCATTTTATCTTTGTTTACTTTTTTCTTAGTTCGATATTTCTCATATTTTTATTTTTTTTGTCTCAAGGGTAGTTTTTACATTTTACTTGTAATTAATTACCATAAAAATACAAAATTGGGATTTTGTAGATGTGATAAACCAAGATATTCTAAAATGTTTAAAATTTAAGTTTTGGTTTTGCTGGGAATATAAAAATAGAAAATAATTATATATTTTATTGTTTTATGCTGAAAACTCTATTAAGAATTACCTATGAGCTTATATCTATTTATAGTTTACCAGTTTATTTACTTTTCCCATAGTATTGCAAGCACCAGTGAAATTATCCAAGAATGAATTTACATTTAATATTGTGCCAAGTACTGTGAATACCATGGAAAATGTCAGAAAAACTCAGGTATGTATGGAGAATTGGTACAGTTTACAAGTGTTTTTCTGATTATGGTTTTTAGTTTATTGAGTTACTGTGAAACATATAAGAAGTCTTTTATTTTTAGAGAACTTGCACATACAGATATATATATATATATAACTTACATACATATATATTTCATATTTCTCAGAAGTATGTATATACAGTGTGGGGCAAAAGTAGGTTTATAGTTGTTTGAATGAATTCAGTATAATAATGAATAAATGATAATACAAGAATAAATTCCCTGGCTGGCATAGCTCAGTGGATTGAGCTCAGGCTGGGAACCAAAGTGTCCCAGGTTCGATTCCCAGCCAGGGTACATTCCTGGGTTGCAGGCCATAGCCCCCAGCAACCGCACATTGATATCTCTCTCTCTCTCTGTCTCTCTCTCTGTCTCTCTCTCCCCCACTCCCTCCCTTCCCTCCTTAAAAATAAATAAATAAAATATTAAAAAAAAAAGATTTGTTTAAAAAAAAAAGAATAAATTCTGTCTTTTGCAAACTCACAACTATAAACCTACTTTTATTCTACCCTGTATGTTATATATATAAAACTCATATTTCTCAGAACTAATTGTTCAAGTATGCCAACACATATAAAGTCATTTATTTTATATATGTATGTATTTAATAGGACTATCCAAAATATGTGGAATAGAATTAAATTATGCCTCTCTCCTTGTACAAATGGAAACTGTGATTAAAATTAATGTGAAATATGTTCCATATAGATAAGCAAATGGAATGTGAGGCAATGATAACAAGTGAAAAAGTCCAGATATATAATAAAGTGACTTTTCTGATAATCTAGTTTGTTTTTCTTAATAGATATTTTGCCTCTCTTCTAATTATGAATCTATCTAGAAAAGTTAGAGAATATATATGAAGGAAGCTTGTATATTCATTGTAGAAATTTGTATTTGTAGTTTTCCTTTTTTGTGTTATATATTGCTTTTTCTACAATAAATTTTGAACCTTTATAGCTTGAACAAAAATTATCTGGAGAAAGCATTTAATATTGCATCCATAAAATAATAGCTGAGGGTATATGCAATCATAGTTAGAGGACAATAGAGGATCTCTTCTAAAATTAAAATGTGACTTTTTCAAGCATAAAATGCCAGTAAAACTTCTAACTGTAATGTAACTTCAAGGATGCCAAAGACCACGTATGCAGGGCTAGGAAGGAAGAGTAAGTGAACTGAACTGGCTTGAATTCCAGAGCAAAACAATCCCTGCATAAATGCAAGATTATTTTATATCATTTTATGTAATTGTACTTTTATTCACTTGGCGTGATAAAATACAATCTAGACCACAGATGGCAAACACAAGGCCCGAGGGCCAAATCTGTCCCTCCACCTTGTTTTATCTGGCTGGCACCTTGTTTCTACCAGGTGGCAGCACTGAGCTCTCAGTTAACTGTTAAGAAGTGGTTACATGTACACAGTCCTAAAGTTACATTCGGCCCTTTGAAGGCAACTGCAAGGCTGATGTGGCCCCCGGTGAAAATGAATTTGACACCCCTGCTCTAGACAATGAGAATCTTGTCTTTTGATTGGCAAAGGACTTACATTGGTCCCACAGAGAAGGAACTGTGACTCTAGTACACTACTTGGATTTGGCATGACTGATATTTACAGTCAGAATAAAATATATAATGCAGAGAAGTCAAGATTTTTATGTAGCAGAATTAAAATAAGATCATATATAACATTGTATATTTAAAATGACAAGTATGATACATACAATGTGGATATGAAAGCCTGGTTGACAGAAGGGTTGGGAATAGTAGAAGGAACAGGAGTGAAACCCATCTTACATGGAGGGCAATGAAAGGGAATTTTCTAAAGTTGACAGAAAAAGAACTTAAGTTATAAATACACTGTTTAAAGTTGCCATGTGGCTAATGGAATAATTAAAATAATACAAATATCTAAACTTGGGAGGTGGAAATTGGAGTAGAGGAGTGCAAATGAGCTAAACCCTCATCTATACTAGTAGGCGATCGAGACATGATATCTGAGTCTGATAAATCATGAAATAGCCATGTGGTAATCAAAATTATGTCCTCCAAATTTGCTTAATTCTTAATCCTCGGAACTTGTGAACACACTACTTTATTTTACAAAAGATACTTTGCTGATGTGTAATGTGATTAAGACTAAGGACCCTGAGCAAGGGAGGTTATCCTAGAATATCTAGGTGGACCTGATCTTTTTACATGAGTGGTTCAAAACACAGAAAGTTTTCAGGCTGTTAACAGCAGGAAATGTGATGATAGAAGAAGGACAGAGAAATGAGATGTTGCTGGATTTGAAGATAGTGGAAGGAGGCCACCAGCCAAAGAATGTGTCTGATGTCTAGAAACTGGGAATGACAAGGAAAGAGATGCTTTCCTAGCGCCTCCAGAAAGTGTCATAGTTTTTTTCTAACACCTTGATCTTAATCTAGTGATATCTGTGTTGAATGTCTAAACTACAACACTGTAATATCATTAATTTGTGTTGTTTCAAATCACTGTGTGGTAAGTTGTTATAGCAACCATTAAAAAACCTAAAGTAAGCCATATCCGCATCACATTTAGAATAAGGTATAACTGCTAGAGAAAACCAAAATCAGAATTGGCTACAATTGGTTGCTTCTGGGACGCAAAACTATTGAGGAGGAGGGGTTGAATAGGACACCTATTTTTATAAGCATTTTTGAGCTATTTGTGTAACCTATTTTGATAAAATTATCAAGAAAAATGATACAATACATACTAAACAAACTAAACAATGTTTCTCTATAGCTGACTGTACTGGTTGTATTCTTAGGATAGGATATGGAAAGTGGATAGTATTTTAGAGATTTCATACCATTTCCTTAATTGCAAAATGAGAAAAATGAGTCTCTCATTTAGCTAGTACAATTTCATGCTCACATTCTGTTTTAAAAGATGTTGTTTTCTTTATAAGGTACAAATGAACTTTGTTATATAGCAGACACATATTACAGCTAAATGTTTGTTTAAGTACTTAAGAGACATCCAGAGTAAAATTGACTCATTGTTTAATGTTAAATATTTTAAAAACAGTCATTATTTAGAAAGAAATGAAGTGCATTATTTTGTTGTGGTTACAATTGCATGGGGCATTCTATATTCTTTGATTTTTTAAAGATTATTTATTTATTTTTAGAGAGGGGAAGGGAGGGAGAGAAACATCAGTGTGTGCTTGCCTCTTGTGTGCCCCCTACTGGGGACCTGGCCAGCAACCCAGGCATGTGCCCTGACTGGGAATCCAATGGGTGACCTTTCAGTTTGCAGGCCAGCACTCAATCCATTGAGCCACACCAGCCAGGGCTATACTCTTCAACTTTTTGAAGATTAAAGTTAATTAAAAATAAACTGGTTAAAGGTTTTATTTTTAATAATATGAAAAGGTGAGTCTACACACAAGTCATCCCTATAGCTCCCAGATTTGTCAAAACGTTACAAAGACAGTGCTGAGAGGTACTTTTCATGGACCTTTTCAGAATGTTAACAACTTATATAACCATAGAATATTTTTTAAAACTAAGAAATTAACATTAGTATAATATTATTAACTAAACAACACATTCTATTTGGATTTCTGCAGTTTTTTTACTAATGTCCTTTTACCTCCCCATAGTCCAAGCCAGGATTCTATATTGCATTTTGTTTTCTCAGATATATGACTGTCTTGCTAAATTTTTTATGCCCTTAGCAGTTTTAAAGAGTATTGGTCTGGCATATTTTTCAGAATGTTTTTTTATTCTTTTTAACTGTTCTTAGTTTGTGTCTAACTTGTCTTTGGTGCTATTGTTGCATCTGCTTTTTTTTTTTCCATGGACAACATAAAACCATTCTCCCAAATTATATTACCTAATCTGAAATATGGGTAATCTTTGGAGCAGTCAATGAATTTATTTCTTGTTTTAAAATCAAGATATAATTCACTTAACATACAATTTGTCATTTTAAAGTGTACAGTTCAGTGGTTTTTCATACAGCGTCCAGCAGAAGTAACACCTGCTTGAATGTGGTTGGTAGAGTAATAATATGAGTGTAACAGTTTATAGTTCTAATTTGAACATTTCATCTAAAATGTCATATGGTGTGCTTAAGTATGATATTGTGATGTCACAAAATGACGTGCTTACAATTTTGTAAAAAAAGATTTTGTAATAAAAAAGGGTGTTATTTGCATATAAGCCCTGGCTGGGGTAGCTCAGTGGATTGAGTGAGGGCTGTGAACCAAAGTGTCACAGGTTCGATTCCCAGCCAGGGTACATGCCTGGGTTGCAGGCCATGACCCCCAGCAACCACATGTTGATGTTTGTCTCTCTCTTTATCTCTCTTTCTCCCTCCCTTCCCTCTCTAAAAATAAAATTAATAAAATCTTTTTAAAAATTAAAAAAAGAGTTTAAAAAAGGGGTGTTATTTGTGCCAGACCCTATATATTCAGTATGTGGTGCCACCATCACCGCTATCTCATTTCAGAACATCTTCATCACCCCCAAAGAAACTCCATGCCTCTGAGCTGCTATGTTTTCAATTCTCTTGGGTATATACATAGAGTGGGTGAGCTGGGTCATGTGGTAATACTATGCTTAACTTTTTGAGAAACCACCAAAGTATTTTCCTGTGAATTTACTTGTGTTACTCACTCACCTTACACCCTTCATTGTTCAGTTCTCGTGCAAATACTCATCCTTCTCTGGTTGGTTGTATTAGTTGAGATGTTCTGTGAGAGATGTGAAGAGGAAGCAAAATGCTTGCCCTCTGGGATGAGGTGCTACTTGAATTAGCAAGCAAAATGGCTGCTTTTTGTTTTGTTCTGTTTGTCTGCAACTCGGTCAGGGAGTATGGATTGAAAGTCCCTCATATTCCCAGAATTGTGGTATGCAGATTCATTTGTGGTTTCTTTGTCTATCTTGCCTTTACCTTGATAAAGGCCACATTCTTGTATTCATCTTCCTGATGATGGTAGTGATGATGATGATGGTGATGATGTCACAGCTTGTTAGAGGCATTCCTAGGGCTACATGTTATTTAATGTCATCCTTGTAATACACTTTTGAAATGGATATTTTAAATGCCTTTTAACTTGCCCAGACCAAGGTTTAAGTCAGAAGAAATTCCACATATCTGGAGGTTGACAGGACTGCAGGAAGGTGCTGCTATGCTCAGGTTTCCCATTCCTGGGAAAGGTTAATACATGTCTACTCAAATGTGATTCCTTTGATTCCAGTTTGTCCTACTGGACCAACTTGGTATTCAAAAACCAAGAGTACACCTCTATCGAATAAAAAGGGAAAAAGAAGGAGTTAGACAAAACCACCATGTCGTTTCAAATTGTGTGCCTAAGAAAATATATGAGGGGGAAAATGAGCACAAAAGCAGCATGCAATCACCTTCTAAATTTTTATCACTTAAGTGTAATATTAGTTGTAAATTGCATTGGGAAGATTATGTCTTATTTTCACTTTTGTATGACATGTTAATGTTATCCCGGGCACATATGCATCATAAACCTAGAAAAAGGTACACTGATAATAATCGACTTTTTGATCCCCAAGATAAAAAGTCCTTCCTCTCCTGGATTAATCATGGTTGTAGCTTTTCAAATGTGGAAACTGTATTGTGCCTCACTGGATTTTCCTTGCTGCTTTTGGTGCCAAGGGAAATCCCTCATTGCTTGGGCAACAGTGGTATGCACTGTAACAGCATTTCCTTAAATGAAAGCATGGCCACTGAGAGAGAACAGTACTATACAGCTCTACTTTATAAAATATTGTAGGTTTTACAAAATGCTCATAGATTTTAATGCTATTATAGGAGCTTTACAAAGATATATCTTATGCAGGAGCATGACAATGCAATTTATAAGGTAAGAAATAGAAATGGGCAATAGGTAAAGAAAAGTCTGTTCAACCTCCAGTTATCAAAAAATGTAAACTTAAATGAGATACGAGTTCTACTTATTTATTACTAAATAGGTATATGCACACAGTACAAAGTTCTAGAATACAAATACTGGTATAGTCACTACAGAAAACAGTTTGTAGGCTCCTAAAATTGCTTGACTTTGTGCATAGGCCCATCAAGTTGTATGATAATTCCAACTACCTTTGATATTACACACTGCTTCTTTTATGTTTTGTGTATTAACAGAAGTTTTTCTTACGTAATTTGTCAAAAAGAAACGTGGATTGGGCTTTCAATATTAGTAAAAGTGGCAAACTTTTCAAAGATGGAGTATTCACATTTAGTGAACTGAGTGGGACTCTGCAACCATATGAACAGTATAATGTTTCCATAACGTTTTGTCCAGGTAAGTAGTTTTCCCTGTATTTGTTGGCATTTCAGTTTATCTTCCACAGATTGTTTCATTATGTATACAGAAGTTTAACTTATTTGTTATATGTTTTTAAAACAGTTTTAAGAAATGTCTTACCAGAATTGTGTGGTAACCGTCCTTAGTAAATGGTTTCCATGGTATTCATGCCATTGTAATCCTTCTCACATCAAACAGGGCTGGTATGTAACTCATGGGATATTATGGATGTGATGGTGTGGGCCTTCGGAGGCTGGGTCAGAAAAGGCATTGCGTCTTTTGGCCTATACTCTTGGATTTATTGCTTTGGGGGAAGCTGACTGGCATCCCTATTTATCTATATTTCCACTTAAATTCTGGTGTTTTTTAAAAAATCACAGTAATTTTATTATATCTTTTTATAATTGGTATGACAAAATTTCTCATTAAATATCTTATAAGAATTCATGGCAACTCTTATACATTTACTTTTGAAAATGAACTATAGTTTATTTTTTTCCCAATTTCTAGAAAAAGGCACATAATTGAGTTTTTTCACTTTAGAGAATCACATTTTTTTTCAGTAATTAAAGTTTTATTTTATATGTATCATTATTACAAATGACGTTTTTTCCATTATTCTTTTAAATTAACTATCACTATGTAAAAGGAATATATTTATGTTTTATCTGGCACTTCCATACTGAACTTCTCTGGTTAAATCTGGAACTTTTTCAAATACTATTCTATAGTCTTTTCTAAGTAAAAAGTTTATAACATAAAATTGTTGTAAGTAATAAAGTTGTTTCCTTATTTATAATATTTAGATCTTTCCTCTTCCTCTTCCCCCTCTCCTCCTACTACATATTCTACCCTGAATCTGTTAATACAATATTATAACAATATAACATTACAATTATATTAAATATTATATATGTTTATTATATATTACATTTATATTAAAATTATATTACAATTATTACTATAATCTGTCTGAGTGTGTTATTTTTAAAAGATGTTATTTATTTATTTTTAGAGAGAGAGAAAGAGAGGGAGAGAAACATCAGTGTGTGGTTGCCTCTTTGATACTCCCCACTGGGGACCTGGCTCACAAAGCAGGCATGTGCCCTGACTGGGAATCGAACCAGTGATCCTTTGGTTTGCAGGCTGGCACTCAATCCACTGAGCCACACCAGCCAGGGTTGAATGTGTTATTATAATGGCAGTTTGTTAATTTTTTTTATTTCAATAGGTTTGATTTATATATTTAGATGTCATGAAAGATTTGTCTACTGTGTCTTTTATAAATTAGTACATGCATTTAAAATTTTTTTTCTACAACAGACTTTTGTCTTAAATGCTGTTTATGTGATACATTACCATTTTTTCTTCCTTTTTTCTGTCTTTGGCTGAAATATCAGTATATTTTCAATCTGCATCTTATAAATTTAGAATGAGTGTTATAAACCAAAGGGCCTTGCTTTTCTTTTTGAGCAAGACAGAAATGTAATTTTTAGGAGAGGAATTGAAGTTATTTATATTTCATGTTATAATATAAATTTGTTCATTTTTAGTCAATTTTATTTATATTTTTCTATATTTTAAAATTACACGTATTGATCAAGTTTTTGTTTTCCATACTATACATCCTATTTCTATTCTACATGGATTATATTTCAAATTTTAAAAATATGTATTTCAAAATATATTTTCCTGACAGCTCTGAGATGAAATGGTATCAATGAACTTACAAAGTAAAAAATCATAATATAAGTTTATTTCTACTTTCAATATTTTCTTTCTACTTTCAAGAATTCGCTGAAATAATTTGGAATTTTATTTCCAGCTAGTGTGCTTTATAAAATCATACAATGTATATCTTCTTGTGATTGGCTTTTTTTACATACCATAATAGTTTCCAGGTTCATCCATGTTGTGGCATGAATCAGTATTTCTTCCCTTTTTATGGCTAAATAATTATATGGCTAATTCATATATTGTCTATTCATAAACATTCAGTGTCCATTCAGTTAATGGGCATTTAGATTGCTTCTACTTTTTGTCTCTTATGAATAACACAGTTATGAACATTCATGTATAGTTTTGTGTGGACACATGTTTTCACTTACTTGGGCATATATCATGGAGTGGCATTGTTGAGTCATAGGATAATTTGATATTTGATATTTTAAGAAACTGCCAAACTGTTGTATAAAGCAATTGTAACAATTTAAAATTCTACCAGCAATGATTGATTTTTAATAATTTTTGCCTGTGTTATCATTGCTTTCATGGAGGAGTGAATTTTCAGAGGTCTCTGTTGCACCCTTCCCTCCAATATCACCTGAACATGTTTAGGATATACTTGTATCTTACTTTAGGTATTTGAGTATTTTCGTCCTTATCTTCCTTGTTAGAAACTGAAGCATTTGTTTTTCTCTAAAATATAATTCTATTTATTCACTTTAAGATTACTTATTTATTTATTCATTCATTTATTTATCTTTTTAGACAGAGGGGAAGTGGGGGAGAAAGAGAGGGAGAGAAACATCAATGTGTGGTGGCCTCTCACTCGCCTCCTACTGGGGACCTGGCCCACAACCCAGGCATACGCTTTGACTGGGAATCGAACAGGCAATGGTTTGGTTTGCAGTCTGGTGCTCAGTCCACTGAGTCACACCAGCCAGGGCTAAAATATCTTTTTAAAAACCATGGGCTGAACAGATCTTTGACTAGTAAGAAGGTTGAATCAGCACCTAAAAATTTCTCAATAAAGAATAGCCCAGGACCAGATGGCTTCACTGGAAAATTCTACCAAGTCTTTACAGAAGTAACTACAATCCTTCTCAAATTCTCCTAAAAAATGAAAAGGAGGAGGGAACACTTTCAAATTCATTTTAGGAGGATAGCATTACCTTGGTAGCAAAGCTAGACAAAGAGATGATATGAAAATAAACTAAGGCCGAAATCCTCAACAAAATACTAGCAAACTGAAAAATAAAAAAAAATAATTAATTAATTAATTGAAAATAGTAGTAGCAAACTGAATTCAACAGCATATTAAAGGACTGGGTAGAACCTGTTATACTGGTCGCTGGGCAGGGTTGCCTTATACTTTGAGGGCTTTGAAGAGTTTTAGTGAGGTGGCTTTTACTTTTCACTCTGCCATTATTGTCTTTTCCTTGGAAGGCCACAGGGATGGAGGCTGAGATGTGGTAGTATATATGACTCAGAATGGTCTCTAAGTAATTCTCCAATTCCTTCTGAATCGGAATCACTGTTGTTTAATGTAATTTGTGTGCCTAGACTCCCTCCCCCCTTGCATAAGCTTGTGTTTATTCTCATGTAAATAACCTCAGTGCTTCCCAAGCCTGACACCCAGGGTGCACATACTTTAGAAAATTCTCAGCATGAGGATCCTTGCTGCATAAAAACACAGACTCTTCCTGGTAATGAGCTACAGGAAGTATTGACAGCTAGCTTCATAAGCAGACCGGAACAAAGGAGCAGCAGGAAGGTGCTTGAAAAAAAATCAGCTATGAAGATTTTTTTTCTGTGTTTGAAAAAGTCTGTATTGGTATCTGTCTCTGATTTAAAGCATATGCTTGTTTACTTATAACATGTTAGTTTACATACCAAATGCCACTTCCAAACTATTTTTCTGTTTAAAAGGTGTTATGGTAACTTACCTGTTATTTTTCCTAATTATTCTTATTTATGAATCAACATTAGGATTGCATCCTGTTGTTCTTGCTGTTTGGGCCCATCCGGATTCTCATGACTGGGTGTTTCTATCTGTTTCTCAGCTGTGGATGTTGACTCCTGATAGCTTATGTCTGTCCCTTTGGCTGAAGGTAGAGGATGTCTCATGCAGAGATGCCTAGGAGTTTAAACTTCACCACCAGCACTACCTCAAGTGGCCCAACCCACTCTCTCCTGTGGGCCAATCTCTCTGGCAAAGTCACATCCCAGACTCTAAAACCACAGCTTTTCATAGCTTCTTGCTCTGCCCTGTTCTGCTTCCCCCTTTACCTGGAGGTTCCCCAAGAGCACAGCCTCAGTAAAGCACTTGCATTAGAATTTTTTGGGACAGTAGTCTGTATGTGGCAATCTATAAAATACCTACGACTTGCTATGTTATCAGTAGAAAAGGCAGGATAAGAACCTATTCTAGCTTTTAAGGTTTTTAAAGAGTTCCTTGAGCTATGTCTTTTCTCTCTCAATAATATTCTGTTAGCACTGTGTTGCATTAAGTTGGTGTCTTGCTTATGTCTGTTAGCATGACATTGTATAATCAGTTAGTTTGATGTGTGAGAAAAAAGTACAAAGGATGCCGTGATTAGTAGGCTTTAAAAAAATCTTTCAGCTGTCATTACCTCTGCTTAGAACTCTGAAAATATGATAGAAAACATCAAATATTCTCTGCATTCTAAAGAATATTTTGTTAAAATAATTAGGTTTCATAATATATTCCTGTGTATTTCTTCTCAGTTTCTACTGTGTCTGGTCCTGAAAGCAATTGCTAGTTCAGCTCACCATTTGTATTTTCATACAGAGCTTCTCCTTTATGTCCCTATCAACATTTTTAGCCAGATGAATTGGACTTGACAATCTAGAAGGAAATAAAGAACACCTCCACTTGACTTTCCTTTCAGTGTGGAGCTGAGACCTGTTCCAGGGTTCAAATCCATTTGAGTCAAACCCAGGGTTCCCTCCTTAGGATCCCAATGTAATTGTTAAAAATTAATTAAAAATGCCATTAACACATTTATATAATTTACATCTCAGATGAGAAAGAAGGTATGCCTGCATTTAAAAAAAAAGTGCCACTGAATCCCCAGTAGTGTTAGGCTACACAATGAAGCCCCTTCCTTATATGACCCCAGAAACCTTTAACAGGTCAGAACAAAATAATCTCAGAATAGCCCATTCAAAATTCAGAATTTAATAAGTCTTAAAACCTTGCCTAACTCCAAAATTAATGTTATTTCCCCCCCACATAATTTTAACAGTATTAGATTCATTAAATGAAACTATCTTTACTTTATAGATTTATAATGCTTTAAATCAGTGGTCCCCAACCCCCAGGCCACACACACAGCAGGAAGTGAGCAGCAGGGGAGCCAGCTGAAGCTTCATCTGTATTTACAGCTGCTCCCATTGCTGCATTTCTGCCTGAGCTCTGCCTCCTATCAGATCAGAGGCAGCATTAGATTCTCATAGCAGTGGGAACTCTGCTGTGAACTGAGCATTTGAGGGACCTAGGTTGTGCACTCCTCATGAGAACCTAATGACTGATGATCTGAGGTGGAGCTGAAGCGGTGATGCTAGCGCTGGGGAGTGGCTGCAAATACAGATTATCATTAGCCGAGAGGTTTGACTCCACAGAGGCCATCATAAATCAATTGCTTGCAGACTCATGTCAAAACCCTATCAGTGAGTGTCAAGGGACAATTAACCTGCATCTGGTGGCAGGCTATAAAGCCATCTACCCACCTCCCCCAAGTCCATGGAAAAATTGTCTTCCACAGAACCAGTCCCTGGTGCCAAAAAGATTGGAGACTACTGCTTCAAATATATAAATTGTTATAACTTATTTTATCAGCTCAAGTTGCAGATATAATCTCATATTTTCACATCTGTCATTATTAGTAGGAAGTCCCTATTCCCTACCCTCTCTAGCCAGCTCCCATTTTCCAAGGATGTTAGACTATTTGAACATGTAGAGGGCTTTTTTTTAAACAAGTAAAGGCATCCAGTACAGCGAAAACTAGTGAATCTGATCAGTTCAATGAATGTCTGTGGTTTTCAATGATGCCATGTTTGAACATGGCTCTGCATCATCCAGAACACTGTGATCCTCTGCCCTGGTGATACCCTTAATGGCCTTGATCCCTGCCAGGTCACTCTGGTGTCCAGTTCTTGAATTCTAAGATAATGCATTGAATTCATACTCACCAGATCACATTTTCCTCCTTTAAGACACTGTATTTGGGAATTTGGTCTGAAACGATACTGGCAACTTGCTCTGATGGAACCTGTCCTCCAGGACTGGCCTGCAGCTTCCCAGGCCGATCCTTTTTCTCCAACACAGAGTGCCCTTCCTCATAGTGAGTTGCCACATGGGAATCTCCTGTCTTTCCTGCCAGGTGAAATTAGCCAGTCGACCCTGGCAGCTTTTCATTAACTCAAATATCTGGGAGTAAGCACATTCCTTTCCTCTCAGCTTATAACAATGATCTGATCTCATTTTCATACTGAATGTACTAAAGGAATGGGTAGCTCCTATTAAGGCACAGAAAACAATCAGAAAAGAGGTCTCATTGCACTGTTTCCTCAGGTATATGTGTTCGCCCATAATAATGGAAATCTGTAGGGTGACTTGTTCTATTTTTAGACATAGTGCACTTTGAAAGATTTTTATTTCAACAACTCATTACATACATGTCTTAAGTTCCTTGGCAGGATAAATCCAGTTTCTGGGGAATCTATTCTGCTTCACTGAGCTGTAACTTCAAAGTACATTTTAATATTTAGTAAGGTTTAAACTATGTAAATATTTCTGTGTGTGTGAACTAATCTAAAATACTTAAAATTTTTTCCATTAGATCGTCCTACAAAATACACAGCTGACATTCCTGTACATTTAAATAATAACCCAACTTGCTATCAAGTGATTCACTTGACTGGGGAGATAAAATCACCCAAGATATTGTTTGACCCTCCGTACATATTTCTCACCTCTGTTCCTTTGGAAGTAGCAGCTGTGATGAATGTCAAGATTATACCTCAAAATTATTACAGGTAAATGCTTAATGTAAATTTACCATATTTTCTTTATGTGTTTTTTGTTTGTAGTTGTGTTATGTAAGTCATGAGCAATGTCTGACTTGTTTCTATAGTTGGAACAAACTGTTAAAATATTTAACTGCATTTAAATTAAAAATACGAAAAGCCCACTTAGTTACCTCACAAGGTCATTTAATTTTTTTGTAAAAATGTTTGTTAACTTGTCTATTTGTGGTATAAGAAGCCAGCTTAAAAATTCAAGGCGTTATTTTCTATTGCTGTATGACAAGTTACCACAAACTTAATGCCTTAAAACATGAGTTTGTTTTCTCAGAGTTTCTTTGGGTCAGGATTCCGTTTTGTCCACTGCCCAAGGTGTCAGCAGGCAGAGATCAGAGGGTGGGCTGTAGCTACAGTGCCACCTGAAGCTCAGTCTTCCTCCAAGCTCCCTGGCTGTTGGCAGAATTTATCCTTGCAGCTGTAGGACTAAGACACCAGTTTCTTGCTCGCTATTGGCTGGGACCACTCTCAGCTATTAGAGGCCACTCTCAAGTCCTAGCCATGTGGTTCCTCCTCACCGTGTGGTGTGTTATTCATTCAAAGCCCAAAGTACACTATCTCTCGAAGTCTCTGTCTCTGACCTTTAAACCTTTTAAGATCTCATCGGATTAATTCTAATCCACCCAAATTCATTTGACTAGGGACCTTAATTACATATGATAAATCCCTGAATCATTGCCACATAACTTTATCATCAAAGTGATACAGAAACCGGAAAAATCGGCATTCGTGCTGCCTGTCACATACCAGACCCAATAAGCAGAGACAGGGGTTGAATCTTTAAAGGTGCTTTATTCAGATGGCCAGTGACCTGAGAAGATGGTGGGTTTGTTACATTTCCTTTCAAGCCAGACTTTTTATAACAGAGAACAGAGTACAGTGGGGGGTTTGAAATTCAGGGAAAATTAGATTAAAAAACTGCAGCATTCTTGCCCTAGGCAGTTGGCTGTTCCCGGGGGCAGGAGGCTGATGTCTGTCTCTCCCTAGAACACAATGGCCTGGATGCCTCCACTTGTCCCCAGGCAGTAATCTCTAGCAGTGCCCCAGGAGGTCACCTGTCTCTCCAGGGAGCCAGGATGGGCCTTATCTGTGGTTTCTGAAACAAAAGCTTTAATATGTACATTACTTACCAGGCTTATAACTATTTACCTTAAATTAAAATTTTCCAACTCTTGAGTCCCCTATCATGAGTGCTTACTTATGCCATGGAGCTTGGCCTAAATGCCACTTTGTGAGAGAACATAGTTAAACTTTAACTTCATAACTTTGGGATTTGCTGTTCTTTCAAGACCCTATCTTATAAGTATACACTAACCTTGGTTGCTTAAACAGGAAATAAAAGTGGCTTAAATTATTTTGTGCCAAAATATATTTTTTATCATGAAACATTGTCTCATATATGAATTAATATTTTAGTCTTTCAACTTTTGGATTAATATATAAAGGTATCAGTTTAAAAATGACCTCAAGTCAAAAGTTGAGTCTTGTGAAATATGGTCTAATGAGCATGTAAAAGAGACTGTAGAGATGATGTAACTCAGTCTTCTCATTATATGTGCAATAAAGTCAGCAACAGTAATGACTTATCCAATGACACTTAGATAATTAGTGACAGAATAGGATTCAAACCTGATGTAAAAATTACTTTTTCAAATTTCATCCAGTCAACCATATTGGTTTAACTAACTCAAGTTGAGATCTTTTTTTCTCTTTAATTAGCTGAGTAATCTTTATTCTAACTAAAATATTATGGAATTATGATTCCCATTTGATAACACTTCTTATTTGCTACAGGAGCCTACATGTGCAATAAAAGAAAACAAATAATATGGTTAAATATAGACTACTAAAAGTTATCAAATATTAATTAGATCTAAAAGTGAGTACTACATACTATGTTATTCAAAATTACAAACATTTTAGATTATCTGGATATTTTAAAAATATACAGTGAAATATGTGAACATTAAGTTAAATTTTTAGCAGTGATGATTCAAAAATATTCATGATATATAAATACAGTGCTTAAGAATATCAATTTTTAAAAATAAATTATGTGTGTATATTCATTTGTTAATATTACTTAGTCTACATGTGATAAAGCTCTAGTTACTAAAGTAAATTTTTGTCAGGATATATTTAAGGGCAGTACAGTTTATCTCATGACTGTGGTTAAAGACACATTGTACTTAATCAGGAGTTTAAACCAACTTTTTTCATCTTTATGTATCAGGGTGCAGCCAAGAGGGGGCCCCCAAATAGGGATTTGTAATGGTGTCCAGAACTCAAGGTGTCCAAGAAATATTAGAAAGATATATAGGATGTCCTCCCCCTCCCGCCGCAGGTGTGAGTTGGGGGAAGGGACACATGGAGCAGGAACATGCAGAGCCATTTTGTTCAGCCAACCTCTGGCATGGTAATTTAACATATCTATAACCTTTAACTGGTTGCATAGGTATGATAAATAGCTGTGGCCATGCCTTGAGCCAGGGGGGATGGAAGTAACTTCCTCCCAAGATATAACTGGGAGGGCAGCTCCCCAGTTATATCTCCCCCTGGTTACAGCACCTGCGTGAGAGCTTGAAGAAGATTGGCTTCATGACTTGGAGCCACGCCTGCCCAGACTCACTATGGCAGCTCAGTAAAGCTGGAATAATACAAGAATGCTGGCAGATGTAACTGATTGTAGGAGGAGTGGGAAATGGTGGTACAGAGGAAGGTTGGCTCCAAGTTTTAAACCTAGACTCGGCAGCCATGAGAGGAGAGAGCCATGTGGCTTTGGCAGGAGAGAACCACGTGGTTTTGGCAGAGTGGGGACCCCGCAGCTTTGGCAAGAGTGAGGACCATGTGGCTTTGGGGTGCTCCCTTTTGCCATGTGGTTTAGGAAGCAGGAGAAACTTTGCCTGGAAGAAAAGGGGTGAAAGGACTCTTGCTGGTGGGCCATGAGAAGGTGCCACATGGCTTTGGATTAACTGGAGATCGTGGTGGCAACACAGCTCATGGTGCCAGAAGCCCAAATCATGGACTTGTGCTTCTTTTCCTGAGATACGGTACCCCAGATTAGGGCAGAGGGAGAAGGAAGGACTGTGTGCACCTGTGGGCATCGTAAAAAACTTTAATATTTTAATGAAGACATTGGGTCACTATTTTAAGTCTGTATAGCTTTAAATAAACATTTCCTTTCCTTTTCACAAATCTCTGCCTTTGAGAGGCATCTTTCCTCTGGTGGTGGGCAATAATGAACCTAGTGGGAGGTCCTTTCAGTAATAGTATATTGTATCTCCCCTTGGCCCTGTTCTGTAACATTTAGAGGGCAAAACAAACTCTTGATCATCTTATGTGGTTCTTCATGAAAGTAAATATATTATCAGTCTTATATTGTGACCAGAAAATAAGACATGATATGAAAATATCTTTAATAATCAGGCATGTTATTATAAATATTTGTTGTTTTAATTTTTCTAATGATTAAAAAAGGGAAAACACATTTAAAGCCAATTACTTGCATGCATTGAGCTAAAATTTGTTGTTTTTTAATTTTCAACAGAGATGCAATTTTAAGTGTCACGGTTCCCCCAATAATCCTTCATGATGAGGAGGAGGAGGAAGAGGAGGAGGAGGAGGAGGAGAAGAAGGAGGAGGGGCATGACTCCCTTTGTGTGCATTTTCCCAAAGGCAAAACCATCAAAGGCTCTCCCAGTGGGATCAACACTGAGCTTACCTGCCAAGTCAGCTTCCAGGCATCTAAACCTGTGTCATTTTTCACCAATATTGTTTTCAATGACAACAGAGATAACGAGTAAGATATTTAATTACAGATTCTTTCCTTTATTGACAGTGAAGATAAAAAGGGTTATTCTACACTGTTGTACACTATTGCGAAATATTAAAAGAGAGACATCTAAAATAATGACTTTGGACATAAAGACATTTTAAAAGTTCCAAATGCAATGTTGTTCTCATTAGAAATATCATAATAGTGGTCACCAGCCTCCTATCTGGAACTAGGCTCTGTGGGTTTGAATCCTGTCTTGGTTAACTTCGCCGAAGTTACTGAGTCTTCTGTGGCTCTCAGTTTCCTCATCTATAAAATGGGGATAGCTGATCTCATCTGTAATTGTGAGAAATTCATTGAGTTAAGACTTATTGAGTAATTCTCAGGAATTGGCACAAAGGAAATGCTAAATAAGTATTAAATGGACATGAGGAACATCAACATAACAAATTTCTAAAATATGATTGCTACACGCTGCTTTAACAGGCTCAGAGAAATTCAGATGCAACTTGATGAAATCATGTTTTTTAATTTCTTACCTTTGATGACTAGAAATCCCAGTTTTACGTTATACCCTGAGATCATTTGACTTACCAAGTGATGAGTCTAATGTGTGCAGCAATAAAGTTAATTTAAAATGTTTATACTGAGTAGTATGAGTGAATTTTACACTAAATTAGTGTCAGTATCTTTACTCTATATGACAATGTATTCACTTCTAGTGGGGATATTATTATAATATATAGTATATTAGTATATATACTAATATTATACTAATATACTATATATTATAATAATATATATTAGTATATATATAATATACTATATTATACTATATAATACTATACTATATACTATATAATATAATACTATATAATATACTATACTATATATATAGTATATACTATATACTATTGTATATTATATTATATAATATATTATTGTATTATAAAATACATCAGTCAAAGGATTGACTGATGTGTTAGGGATTAGAAGGGAGCAAACCAGATGTTGTACCCAAGGTGGAGTGTGGCTGTACCCAGAACATGGTGCATGGAGTTCTACTGAACTCCAGCTTCCATGTCTCTTGCTTGAATACATTGATAGATAAAATCTTTTAAGTTATACTTCTCAGATGCCCAGTTTTCTCTTTTGATGCTAATAGTTCATCTTTTGTTGACATTAAAAAAATAATGACATTGCTTTAGGGTCTTGTCAAGCACTGGGCTCCATGACTCTGCCCTAGGAAGCATTGTGCCTTTTTGTACATTATTGACCTTGTTCATAAAAGTTTAATTTGATTTTGCTCTAGCCCTTAAATTCACACTTTGCCCAAAGCACTATGTAAGGTGTACCTTGGAGCTCACCAGTACAAATCCATGAATGTCTTCAAGCTAATGGAGGCTAGGACCACATTAACAGGGTGGGAAGGAAATAACTCCACTAAATAATGTGTGAGCTAGATGGCTTCTGAGACAAAGATGTAACTGCCTCTCTGAGGGGCCTTAACAGACTTTACTGTGACCTTGTCTGGAGGTCTGGTCAGCAAAGGGAATGGTATGGAGATCTGAAAATGGTTTCCAGGAGGAGGAAGTTTCTTTATTTGTCTTTTTAAAAAGGTTTTATTTATTTATTTTTTGGGGGGGGGAGAAAGAGAGGTAGAGAGACATCAGTGTGTGGTTGCATTTTAAGCACCCTCTACTGGGGACCTGGCCTGCAACCCAGGCATGTGCCCTGACTGGGAATTGAACCAGCAACCCTTTGGTTCTCAGGCCGGCACACAATCCACTGAGCCACACTGGTCAAGTCCAATCCAGCCTTTTTCTCTCTGACTTCCTTTATTTTTACTTTTGTCATATTAGGTAACAATGTAGGGGCAGGAATTCAGTAGTCATGCTGGTGAGATTGGTTTGGGTAGTCTCCAAGTCATTTATATTGTGTTTCAGAGTTGATGCTTCTTTTTATGTTTACAAATGCATATTATCTGAGAATTCACACAGGGATCAAATAGATTAAGATTTGCCAGAATGTTATAATCCTCTATTTTGCATCATGGTTTCCACTCTAGGTTGAGGAGAAGGAACCGTGTCTTGAAGGAACTTGTAATTATGAGAATGAAGTCTTGCCACTTGCTCTTGCTTTATATTCACTGTCTGACTGATTCTTTACCTAGACCTTGCAAATATGAAAGCGATGGCTCTGGGTGGTTACTATCATAGAAATACTAAGAATGCCAAAGACAGCTTAATAATTTCCTATGTTGAACTCCAAGCATATGGTATTTCCTTTTGTAGAATAATGTTGATTTCAACTGCATGTTTAAGGTAACCTAGTGGTTGAGTTAGCAGTGCCTCATTGTTAAAACCGCAAACGTGAATTGAGAGTTTATAATTAGAAATGCGGCATGGCCAAAGTTCTGAGATCCTCCATACATTTTTTTCATCCTTACAAATATTTAACACAGATCCATTATACTCAAAACTGACTATAACTTGCCTAGGTTTTTAGTAACAAATTTAATTTCAATAACTTTAGAGCAAATGAAAAGAAGTCAGCTATTTTATATGAGAGCTAATGTGAGTAATTGGAAATTAAAATTTAGGTCAAATGAAAGAAATCCGAATGACTTCTTTATTAAATAGGTGTGAGATGCTTCCCCTCAGATATCAGCTGCTTTCTCCTTTAGTGCTGTGGTTCTCATGGCTGGATCCTGAAATTACCTGGGGAGTTTTAAAAAATACACGTGCCTCAGTCCAATCCGTAGACTAGGATATGACTTGTCTGTAGGGTGACCTAGGCATTGCAAATTTAAAAAGCTCCTTGTTTGATTCAAATGGGAACATAGAGTTGAGAACCCTGGCTCTAGAACAGTGATTCTCACATTTTGCCCTGCTTAGGACCCACCCGGAGGGCTGATTACCACAGATTTCAAGCTGCACCTCCTGAGTTTCTGGTTCCGTAAGTCTTCTGTGGAGACTGCAGTTGCAAGTCTCACAGGTTCCCATTTGATGCTGAAGTTGCTAGTCTGGGCACAGACTTTCAGCTTGTTCAAAAGGCAGAATTTCCACTCGCAGTCCAGATCAAAGGAATCCGCAGCATCCGTATTGTAAAACTGCCACCAGGTGATTCAGGTGCCCAGTCAAGTCGGTGAAACACTGCACCTGAGAAAGACTGAATAAGGAAAAATGCCATCAAAATGGATTAGATCAAAGAGTGAAGCGCTGCTAAACATTTGGCAGGAAATAACATTACTACTAGAAAATGGTGTTGCTGTCAGAACCCTTGGCCTGGATACCCAACTTTCTTTTAGAGTACTTTGGGTTTCATTTGCTAATGCGTGATCGAACTTCATCTGGTTAAGAGGATTACAATTGTGAGGTATAACTCCAAATTTATAGTAGAGGAAATTGAAGTACTACTGTGTTTTTATCTTTTGGACTATAACCAGCTATAGAGTGAAAGAACCTAGATTTGCGATCAAGTCCCATTAGTTCTATCACACAGCCTTGCTTCCCTTTAACTTTTCAAGTCCTAGGATTTTATTGCTATAACATAGTCAGTTTAGTAAGAAAACTGAGTAAGATAATTTTAAGTGTTGATATGTTATGTAGTATATAATCTGCTATGAATAGGAAGATGTTGATGTTAATGCTAGTTAAACTACACATTATGTTCTAAATGAGAAGCCAATTAGAAGTGTCCAGCAAGAGAAGAATAGGGATGTTTGGTGGGTGAGGTTGATCTAAAATCAGGACTGCTAATTAGGTGGCACACAGAAGCAGTATATCCTTGTCAGTGGATACAGTCTTGAAATATTTCTTTGCTGGTTGGTAACCAGCCACTGTCCTAAGTGCTGAGACCTGGTACCTGACCTGTCTCAAACATGCCTTTTGGACCTTGAACCTGCTCAAGACCTAGTAACTAAAGGGTGAATGCCTGCCATAGCCAGAGTTCTAAGGGTCCTGTACTATTTTGTTTTGGGTGGGTCTCAGCCTGTATATAGTGATGTTATTGCTTAGAAATGCCTGGGGTACTCACCTGGGCTATTACTACCTGTGTCGAGCCCCTACAGACATTTCCCCTTTGTTGTGGCTGGACTAGCTCCTTGTGGATTTTGTTATGATTGCAAGATGCACCTCAAAAACAACTATGGGGAGTGTGGCCATTTTGATGATGTTCATTCTTCCAATCCATGAGCATGGTACCTGTTTCCATTTGTTTCTGTCTTCCTTAATTTCTTTCTTCAGTGTTGTGTAGTTTTCTGGGTATAAGTCTTTTACCTCCTTGGTTAGGTTTATTCCAAGGTACTTTATTTTTCTTGTTGCTGTATCAAATGGGATTTTTTTTCCTGATTTCTGTTTCTGATGTTTTATTGTTGGTGTACAGAGATGCCTTTGATTTCTGAGTATTGACTTTGTATCCAGGACAGTACAGTGGGGAGAAGGGTTTTCAGGAACTACTATAAAGGGTGCATGGACAAAGCCAAGGGTGAGGGTGGAAGCAAGTGAGAGACGTGGGTTTGGAGGGGGTGGAGAGAAGATACAGGCAACTGTAATTGAACAGCAATACAATAATTTAAATTAAAAAAACAACAACTGTGGGGGAACTTGGAAAAACAAGGGTTATTAGTAACAAGTCCAGAATGGTGAAAGGCAAGCCTGGGGCCACCTGGGGCCACACAGTGAGGTCACTAGTAGAGAGATAGAGAGCAAGCTAGAGAGTGTAGGAGACCCTGGGGTCCTGTCTTTATTGGAGTTGAGGGTGAGATGCCTAAGGTTTCAGATATTCACTCTTTATTGGCAAATTTAAAACATAGGAGTGGGAATTAAAGCAAGGGAAAGGAAAAGGAAACCGATTTATTGTCTAAAATGGAGAATGTACAGCTCTTAATTATTTCACTCTTTTTCTATATATGGTAGCATTTTATCACCTTGGTTGTGGATTCAAAAATATTTTTGATGCATAGTAAAACTTATTATGCTTGCTGTCATGAAAATAAAAGTATAGTCACTTAAATTAAAACATTACTTTTTTAAAAATTCAATACAATAAAAAGGAAATGAGTAATAATTAAAGCTGATTCTAATTATTGTTTTATTCAGTGCATAATTTGGTACTTGTGTAGGGTATACCTGGCAAGTTGAGGTCTGTGTCTAGTATTTTTAAAAGTACTTTCACCTATAAGTGGAACCTAATTAACAAAACAAACAAGCAAGCAAATAGAACCAGAGACATGGAAATAAAGAACAAACTGACAGTGACCAAAGGAGAGGGGGCAGGGGATAACAGGGGAAAGAAGGGGAAGGGTCATCAAGGAACATGTATAAAGGCCCCATGGACAAAGCCAAAGGGGGTAGGATCAAGGGTGGGAGATGGAGGTGGGGCAGGAGAAAGTGGTGGGGGGAAAAATCAAGATAAGTGTACTTGAACAACAATAAAAAAAAGTATTTTTGGCATGCTTCTTCTTAGACACATTACTGTTTTTGAAAGAGTAGGAACCTGCATCACATAAGGAAGACTAACAGGTCATGAATTAGACCCCGAGTTCAACCATGTTGAGTGCTAATGTATTCAGGTTTGCAAACACGACTTTAGTAACTCTAGTATAAATTAATATCTGCTCTTTATGTGCCTTTTTGGGATATTTGGATATTTAAAAGAAGCATGTAATGTGAGTCAAGAACCTTTAAGGGATACTACCACATAGCTAGAAGCAACTTTTGAGATATTCAAAGCTCCCCTCATGGGTTAAGCAGAGCAGTTATTTAGGACATGTTCATCTTTTGGAGACTCCATTCTCAGCACAAAACTGCTGCCAATCAGCCATCTAGAATTTTCTCATCATGGCTGCTGAAAGGCAGGTAATGGGAATTTTAAGAGTATTTCAATAATCATCTAATAGATCATAACTGAAGGCAGTGTTGGAATATTGCTCAAAAACATGTGTCACACTTTGGGGGACTGGGTTATACATAACACACTGGTTTTTGTTTTACCTTTCTTGATATTGTATGTGTAGATAGAATAGGCAGTGAAGGGGGGTAGGATTTTAAGGTGCCAAGCTTTAAGGAACATAAGCCTCTGTTCCTTAGTTCTTGACCTAGCCCTATGGAAGGCTGTTTGTAATGGTACCTTTATTCTATGAAGAACATTATTTTCATGGTAGATCTGTTTAACCAAGTCACAGGATGGTAGCACAGTCTCTATTCTTAAGTAGAATGTTTATTAAGATTTAACCAAAACATAGGACACCAGTGTATTATAATAAACTACACACAGAATAATACTCATAATTTTGATTTGTTCATCATTCACGTGTAGCAAAATGGAGTGTTTAAAATTGGTATGGAAACTGCCAAAGCCCAGAAATGGAATTCCAAGATGATATTTACCATAGTCTTCTCTGATTATTAAAATCATAGTGCTTTTAACACTAGGTTGCAGAAAGAAAAGTTAACCATTGATGATGTGGTTTCTTTTTTCTTCCTTTTTCTGTTCTTCACCCCCAATCCCTTTGGAGCCAGTGATGGTTGGTTGGAGAGCTCTTGCCCCAATTAGAGATTTTTCATTTTAGGGAAAGTACCAGTGTTTCACCCTTTGTTTCTCCCTGAGTGCCTGTGAGCACCCACACATTGTTGGTCCTCACAGAGCTCCTGAAAGTTCCGTGCATGCTCATGCCGTCGGCTGCCAGAGTTCTTTCCTGGAAAACCATATTGGAAACTGTGTTAACAACTATAGTATTTAACCATAAGAGAACTAAATTAAAAATCAAATATATTGATGTGTATTAATCAATACAAGTGATTTAACATTTTGAAAAGAGCCTCTGAAGAGAGATTTGGAGATTTAAAAAATGGTTTACATCAATTATAGAATTATTTCCAGGTTGTTGGGCAAACAAAAAAAATGAAATGTTCCTTGTGAAAAGAATTGAGGCATATTTAAAATATTGTGAAATGCACATATATTTCTAGACTTGTTGACTATCTGTCTGTCTCTCCTGTGTCTAAAGAACTCTCTGCCCTTACCTTTGCTGTGATACAAATCAATGAAATCCATTCACATGTGAAACGTACTTCTATGGGTTTTTGCACATTTAGATCAAACCTAAAATCTTTTTAAGGTCTTTAAATTGGTTAATAGCACATACTTCCAGAATTATTAATGTTCATAAATAACAGTGTCTTGATGGGCTGCAGATAACACGTATTGTGGGTTATTGCAATGCATAGAAGAGCAGCTATAACTTTACTCCTTTCCCTCCACTCAGGGAAAAATACTGAAAAATGAGTAAGTGAGAATCATAGTATCATCAGGAATGTTTTCAGTCTGATCTGTGAAAAATAAGTAAAACTCTGTAACTTTCTTTGCTGATTAACGAAATGAAATTCAATGTCCTCACTTGTGATAGAGAGATTCTTGTCTGGCCATATCACAGAAGATCTCCATTAGACCTAGATTAAATTCCATTGATTGACCTAGGTAACCTAAACGTGCTAGCCATAGGAAGCATCTAATGGGTAAATAAAGTTACATGTGAATTAGTTTGCTAGCAATTATTGAACTGAGAAACATTATGAATAGGTGTGGATATATTGTTTTGGAAAGGTTATTTGCTCAAGGATATTTATTTTATGTAATAAGTTCTCCTAAAGCAAATACAGTCATCCAAAATCATTCCATTATTTGTAAGTCTTTATTTAAATACTGGATAGATAGCAATTAGCACTTGTGTTTGATGGTGATGGTGATTGTGGTGGTGGTGGGTTTTACAATAAAAAGCACTTTCAAAGGGCTGACCCAGATATTTTCTTCTGCTCCTATTTCTCTATTCAGTTCTGTAAATAGAAATCTAGGTCATTAATCCAAAGTACTGTTAGTTTTTGCCTAACTTTTTTAACTTTTCATAGCCACTGCCAGTTTTTCCAACATGCCATTTTATAATTTTCTAGCCATCCTGTGGAGAAAGGTTTGCACAGACAAGCATATTAAGGCTAAAGAGACAAGCTTCCAACACCATGCCCTGCATCCCTGCCCTTACTTCTTGCTCAGCTCAACTCTCTGTGAATTCAAACCATGTTCAGTAGAGCTGCTTTTAGAATGTAAGGTTGGCCTCTACCAAGGTTGGTACACAGCCAGGGGAAGAACCTTAGTTAAGATGAGAAAGATATAAATACTATCATAATATTTCTCATGGCGTTTGACATGTACTTCATACGCTTTTGGAAAGTGATAATTACCAGGCCATTTATCACATAGATTTAACAGAAAGCTTCAAAGTTTCATCCCTGAAGTGATTTGGGATGACAAGCATAAGAGTCTCTTAATCTTCACTATAGATGGTGAAAGAATTAGAGATGCGTAATTGCAGTATTAATTATTCATCAGCTAATGAGCAGAGAGATGAATAATGAGACTTTCCACACCTTATTTAATGAATTATGTGTGGTCACCATGCCATGCAATATCAAAATTATCTTTTGTGAAAATATAATTTGCATTTTATTGCTTATTCTGTGCTGTAGACATAAACATTCTTCCTTGACTTTTGTTCCTAACTTAGGATTTTTGCTGGTCTTATCTTCTCTAGCATGTAGTAGCTTCATTTCTAGAATCCAGTAGTATGGAGAATGATCAAATAGGACTAAGGCAATAATGGCTCTTGGATGTGGAATGGTGTGTGGTATAAGTGTATGTGTGTGTACGTGGCTGATTTCAAGACTAAAATTGTCCTGATATACTATTGTAGTGCAGAACTGAAACCAATAAGGCAATATGACAGGGATGTAGCTATTACATATAGTAGTTCTATGAAAAATCAGTTGTACAAAGAGAGAATTGTGACATAAGTTAGACAGGCCCAGTATAACCTAAGTGTTTTATAGCTGGTAAAAATAATAAGGCACTTTCACAATGCTTTCATAAAATAGAGTGCAGGTTGTAAAAGGCACTCTCCACTACCTTTTGCAGTATTGTTTTCAGTTATTAGACACAGTTAAACAAGGACAAACACAAAACAAAAGCTCAGCTAAAAAAGATAGATGATTTGTGAAATATTTGGACATCTTGCAATTGAGGGAATCCTTGACCGTTCTAAATGGTGGGAATTCACAGAAGAGAAACCTTAGAGAAGAAATACTGCATTTAAATATTTGAAGGAATGTAAGTAATGGGGATTAGGCTGTAGATTTTGTTCCATGTTGCCCTGAAACAGAACGTCTCAAGCTCCAGCTCTCCAGATAGAAAATGGGTCATCTCTGAGTCATGAGGTAGTGTCTCCCCGCTAGTGCCGTCTGAGGTTAGATTCCACTTATCAGGGATGCTTTCGAGGGAGAAGGTACGTAAATTAACTCTTAGGCTCCTTCACCTCTAAGATTTCTTGAATCTGATTATGAACCTGAATGATTACAAACTGAGTTCTAGAGCACACTTGACAGTGAGATTTACCATCTGTTAAGAAGCTTTAGAACTAGTTAATGTTCTTATACCATTAAAGTAGATACAGTAGGTGGTTAGGGAAAACAAAGGAGGTAGAAAGAAAAATGATGAGTAATTTATGTGTTGACTCTTAAAGGCCTCCAGGATATCTAAAAAATATTTTATTGTATTTACTGCATCTGGAAATTTTAATTTATTGAAATGCAATATTTCTTTTTTAGGTTTTCATTACCGGTTACTGGCACAGCAGAAAACTGCATTCTTACTATTTACCCGCATCTGGCAATTTATCTTAATAATAATAACCCTATATTATACAATTGTGGTAAGTTGCATATGACTATTTTCTTTCTAACTTCCACTGTATATATTTGTGTTATCCTAAGCTGACATCTAAGTAAAGTGACCTTAAAAAAAGTAAAGTGACCTTAAAATTGAACAGATATTTATTGAACTCCTGCCATTGCCAGGAGCCGTGTTTAGTATTGAGAGTAGAATATGGCAGTCTCTCTTAATTCCAGAAGTTGACAATCTAGTGAAGGGCTCATGAATAAATTAATACAAGTGGTGTGGAATTCAGAGCTCTGTGTATGAGCGAATTGAAGTATTGGGAATATGCAGAGAGGTTAATGCAGATGTTGGTGGTCCGGGATGACTTTATGGAGGAGGTGACAATTGTGTGGAACTTTTCAAATACTGTTCTTGAACAGGATGACTGTGGCAAAGGGCAGTATAGCAAAAGCATGGGGTGTGATGAGAGACACAAGGCAGGCAGTGTAGAGGCAGAGCCATACCACTGCACCCTTTACTCTGTTTCAGTGGGAACCGTCTGTGGTCTGTGGGTTTTGAGTATCAGTGATTTAGAAAGGGAGCAATTGTTGGGATGTGACTTGAATTAAACTGAGAAAGAGAGTGGTCAATAGATTCACTGGGGCTTGCTGCAGAGGAAATGATGAGAAAAGATAAGAATAATTAGAAGAGAAGCTGCTGGGCAGGGAGAGATGTGAAATACGAGGTGCAGAAGAGGATGATGGGTGGAGTAAAGCTCAGGGGAGAAGAAAAGATGGAGAGTGGGAAAAATTTCCTGTGTATCAATTGTCAAGGCTTTAACTTTTCAGTGATGAATTGGAGGTCTTTTCGGTGTTTTTAACACATTTTCTCACATACTCCACTTGGCTTCTTCAAGTGTTTGCCACTCCTGTGAAACCTAGTCCATCCTGCTCTGCCTCAGTGACAGGAGATGACTTTTTCTCTGACTTTGTAGAAGAAATAGAGACCAGCAGGCAGGAACTCTGTGAACTTCAAAATACCAAGTGTGCTTTGGAACCCATTACCTCTTCTGTCACAAAGCTGAGAGGCAAGACTCTCTCCTGGCTTAGGCCAGTGCTTGACCTCAACCCTTAGGCCAGTGCTTGTCCAGGGACCTTGCTTAATCAGCTAACCTGGCTTGCTCTTGCCCTTCAACTTCTGCCTCCCTCTTAACTCCTTTGGGAGAGTGTGCAGGATGACAACTCAGAGAAAAGAGACAATATTCTCACGTGGACTGGCTCATTCTCAAAGAGGAAAGAGGGTGAATTCAGGCCATACATACTTGATTTATGTAGTCTTTCCAAACTTACCAATCAAATGAACTACTCAGTTTCTCAAGGATTGGGAGACATGTAGCAAAGGAAAGTAGGCTTTTAGAGTAAGCTTTAACAGGAAGGAAATGTCAGGGGTGAGGAAGAAAGTGTTGTTCCATTATACTGCTGTACTTGCATACCTTCACTGCTCAGCACCCATTGATACTATTGACTATTCTCTCTCTCTGGCTAATATATTTTATTTTACATTTTTCTAATATATTGGCCAGGGTGGGGTGGAGATTTCAGATAATACAGCACAGAAGGAACAATGGTTGAAGAGTCATAGAACCTGGGTGGAAATTCTATTTTGTGTGTTAACTGCACACTTTGCTGTATGATTTTATCTTTAATTCTCAGATCCTCAGACATCTGTTATTAAACAAAATGTGCATGGTGAGGGAGTAGTAAGGTACTGACAGTATGTGCTAGTCTATTTCAAAAGGCTTTTCTGATGACTCACAAACTGTAAATACCTGGAAAGTATTATTATTGTCTATTATTGTTATGATTATTATGTCATTATCATTGCTGTTATAACTGTTATTATTTTATTGCTTTATTACTCTTGTATTTTTATAATATCCTTCCAGAAAATAATGAGGAATTACTGTACAAAATATTAGTATCTCTTTAAAAGAAAAGAAAGGAATCAAATCTTTGTGTTTGTAGAATGATTGATTACAAAGCATATGGGTTAAAAGTAATGCATTTATTTGGGTAATTATTACTATAGGAAGACATCATGGTTCTTAAATATTCCAATTATAAGTCTGTATAACAATTTATAATATATATTCAGTTCTTTCCAGGCATATGGTGCTCTGCTAAGTGCCTAATATTTATTTCATTTAGTCTTTTCAACAATTCTGAGTTTGACACTCTTAATAATCTCACTTTGCAGATTAAGAAAGTGACTCTCAGGGGGGTTGAGCAACCTGCCCCAGGGAATACTAACCACATGTATGAGACCTTAGAGCCTACCCACTTACCAGCTACTGTGCTATAGACTAAAGTAGATTATATTCAGTAAAGGTGAAATCTTACAATGTGCTAAGCATATCCCAAAGTAAAGCAGTATGATTTACTTGCTATAGCTAATGTGCTAAATAAAAACCATTATGTGAATCACTAACTTAATAGGAAAGGTACAGATTTGGGTTTGTACCCAACTATAACTGTTTAGAAGTAAGTTGATAAGTTGAAATGATACTTCCCAGTGCACACCCAATGGTTCATTCATTCTATCCTCGAATTCCCTAGGGCGCACTTCTGTGAAGTTTATAGTGGTGTAGCGTTCTAGAGCTATGCACTCCTACTAGATAAAGGTTCTCCAGCAAACTCTGAATGGCTTTGTACAGAAAGAGTGGAAGAAACTTAGTATATACTAGCATATTTTTATGTGTTTTTGGTCATAAAGTAATTCTCACAACAGATTCATGAGCTCAGAACTTTTGGTTTCATTTTATGGATAAAAACATATGCTGCAGAGAACTTGTGTAATATACCCATGGTTGAACAGCTCAGGAGTCATAGTGCCAAGCTTTCAAATTAGATCTTTGTAACTATACAGGCCAGGCTTTACTGATAGAATTACAATATGAAAATATGTATGGATATCTATATATACACATACATGGATACTTACAGTGATAGATGGACAGACTGACTGACATATATAGATACATATATGTGCACATGCATACATGTATAGATAATCTGCCCTAGGTCACATCTGTTACTTTTCCTTGGTCAGCGCTGCCTGTAGTTGGATTCCGATGACCATGGTGGCAAACTCTAGTGTACATACAGCAACTCTAACTGGAATAGACACCACCAGCTGTGTAAAATGCTATCAGCTTATAACCAAGCAGTGATTTCATTTCATAAAAATAAGTAAGAAGACATTTTTTGTGTTAGTGATGCAGTTTCTTATATTTGTTTTTGAGCACCTTATATAATTCATTTCAAATTTTTGATGTTAAAAACACTTAAAATGTTTCATATATCCTAGTTTATGCTACAGTCGAACGTTGTTTATTTTCTAGAAGCTTTGATATACCATAATAAATTGCCTTATCAAACAAAGTTCATTTGAGTAAACTATATCACCTTTTATGTTATTTTTTCCCTATTTGACATCTAATGTGTAATGGACATTTAGGCTTTTTTCTTTAGTTTTATATATGTATATATATATGCACACAGTATATATATAAATACATATATAAATATATAATACTTACATATATAAGTATATATAATACTTATAAATATGTAATGTTTATAAGTATTTAAATACTCATAAAGATATGATACTTATATATACACATATAAATATATATAAATGTATAATACATATGTATTTTATATATGAAATCATGAAATTCAGGTTCAGTAATTTGAAATTAAATTGAATAGTGAGTTTATAAATGCTTGTGTGACCTGCTATGATGTGAAGTGTCATTTGCAAATAGGGATCCCAGTCCTGTAAAGACTAGAGACAATACTTCACTTCCTCCCAAAAACATCTACTATCCTCTTCTGGTCCTAAATGTAGTGATGCTGAGCCTGAGAAGAGATTATTTGTTGGTATGTGGCAAATATATAGCGTACCACTCCACCCAGTCTTTAACATGAACTGTTTAATATTATTTCATTAAAAGCTTTGGGTTTTTTTTCAGGTAATAAGAAATATAAGAAGAAAACCATGAATTTATAATTAGTGTGAAGTGAGTCATCTGCTTTGGGAGCTCTCTCCAATGATCTAAAGCAGAGATTCTCTAATGGTTCTGTTCACAGGATACTTAGTATCTCTGTAATTTTCCCTTAGACCAGAAGACCTACTAAGCAGTTCCATTTATTAAATGGTTTGGTCCAAGAACCTAAGAGTTGTAGTATATGTGATAGCCAGTAGATGTTATAATGATATTTAACTCAAATGCTAAATATCCTGCAGAGCCCCTGTGAATTCGCCATGATATTCCTGATACCCTCTGGCCACAGTTTGGGAACTGTCGACCTAGGGGATTATCTTCTAATTATCCAGCTGGGATTTAATATTGTCTGTCTTAGAAAGAGATGAGCACAGAAAAATATGTGAATCTGATAACATTATTTACAATTAACTATTCAAACTTTTTTTTTCCTCTGGATATGGGTTGTATTGAAAATTTTTCATTTTACTGAATGGACCAAACCAAATGAAATATTGTGAGGTTTTTAAATGAGTGGTACTTGTGCCCTTAAACAGGCAGATTTTTAAAACTATAATCGAATCATTTTATATTCTTGAAAATTTCTCAAGAATTAATTCAAAATGTTTTGTTTTATTAAAGTCCTTCATTTGGATAAGAAGTTACTTTGAATCTAAAGCCAATATTTTGTTTCTGTAAATTTTTAAGCTAAGGTTTAATTCTAACAAGTAGAGCTAAAAAATTGTTAAAATATTTTACATATCTAATGGAAAAATGAATAAGTTCTATTTTGGGGAGTGTTTTTACATACTGTTATGGCAAGAAGAAAATTTAATGTTTTTTATTGTAGTTCATCTATTTTTAAAGCATTTCTATTGGGTATTTGAAAATATTTTCTTCTTTTTATTTTAAGATAGGAGTAAATTAGATCAGATTTTTTTTTGAGAGCATAGAATAATTTGTAGAATGAGCTCTATTTGTCTACCTACAAACTACAGTAACTGACTATTTTACTAAATGGTCAAGTAACTGTTTTTACCAAAAACATGTGAATTTTAGAAATGGAACCATCATCTGAAGCATTGAACTTGGAAGAAAGTGACTCAAAGGAAGGTGAAAGTTTGATGGAAAGCGAGGAGGAAGTTCAGCAATGTTTTCCTGAACCAGGAACAGAGACGTACAAGTTCTTTCAGCAGGTTGTAAATGCAGCTCAGACCTGGTTCAGCCTCTTTGGCTGGCCTGGAGGACCACATACTTTTTCTATACCGGAGAGTATAAGAAGGTAACAGTTGCATGTTTCTCTAAATCCCTTGTTATGTATCATATAATGCAATATCATCTATTTATTGGGGTTTTAAGTGAAATACCATATAAAATAAGTTATTCTAAACTGACAAATCATGAGACTATGAAGAAAAGGAAAAAGATGCAAATATAAATTCTTTTTTTTTTAAAGATTTTATTTATTTTTTTGAGAGTGGGGAAAGGAGGGGGAAAGAAAGGGAGAGAAACATCAACGTGCAAGACAAACTTTGACAACACTGATTGCTTCTTCTATTCCCCTGACTGGGGACCTGGCCCGCAACCCAGGCATGTGCTCTGACAGGGAATTGAACTAGCAACCTTTTGGTTCACAAGCAGGTGCTTAATCCACTGAGCCACACCAGCCAGGACTAAATTCTTTAGTAAACACATATTTTTGTATTCCATTTAAACATCCAATGATTTTAGGCAGCACTGAAAATCTCTGTCCTCATTTGTCAAACACAAAGGGTAAACTATGGCTAGGAAAAGCCCTTCTAAACTTGAAAATATCAGTCCTAGATTTAGACTGTAATCAGGTAGACAGTGGTATTAGTGAACAGGAAGTGTCAATTTCTTCAACACTATCTCCTCTTTGACAATACATTTTCCTCAGTCTTCATGTGTTGTTTTTATTACTCCACATGTCTAAAACAGGTAACCTGGTTACATCAAGTCACTGAATTCTGTTGTTCATTTAAACAGGAAGTCAGGCACCTCCCTTGTTATACGTTACTGGTATAGTGGTTCTCAGAGCTCTTGTACCCCCTTTCTCAGCACTGGTGTGACTTGCTGGCACCATGAAGGCGAGTACTAATCCTTAGCACAAAGGGCTGTATTAGAATTTTTGCATCTATATTTAGGAGTGAGCTAGGTTACGTTAAGTGTGTAGTTTTTCTATAACTTAACTTTTTCAGTTTTTTTAATTAATATTATAATATCAGCTCCATAGAAAAAAATCTCTAATATTTCATCTTTGTCTATGGTGAGAGAAAATGACTGTAGCATGTACCCTGAAAATTTACCAGCTTGATCATAATAAAATCATCTGACTCCAGGGAACTCTTTTTAAAAGATTTTATTTATTTTTTAGAGAGAGGGGAAGGGAGGGGAAAAGAAAGGAGAGAAACATTGATGTGAGGGAGAAATATCTATCACCTGCGTCTTGTAAGTGGCCCAACCTGGGACCCACAACCCAGTCATGTGCCTGGACCGGGAATCAAACGTGCAATCTTTTGCTTTGCAGGATGACACTCAACCAACTGAGACTCACTGGTCAGGGCACTCCAAAGAATTTTTGAGAGAAGTTATCCTATTACAACTTTCAGTTTTTCACTTTGGTGTTTGTTCTACTGAAAAGTTTACCTATTTTGAGTGAATTTTAATAATTTCTTTTCATTTTTTTGGTAAATTTGATGAGGTATATTTTACTTAAATATCACTCTTGTGACAAATTAATGTCAACTTCCATAAGTACTTTCATTTTGTGATAAGTAAGATTATGAACAATAGTTTGTATTCTTTTTGTTAGCAGTGTTAATTACTTTTTATTTTAATTAATTTATGTATTACATTTATTGGCATAACATTGGTCAATAAAAAGGTTTCAACTATACAATTTTATTAATACATCCTCTGTATATTGCATTGTGTGCCCACCACCCAAAGTCAAATCTTCCATCACCGTATATTTGACCCCCTCTGCCCTTCCCTAGCCCCACCCTCCTTCCCTCTAGCAACCACCATACTCATGTCTGTGTCTATAAGGTTTTTTTTGTTTTTCTTATTTGTGCATTTGTTGCTTTCAGTTTTATAACCCACATATGAGTGAGATCATATGGTTCTTGACATTTTCTGATTTATTTTACTTAGCATGATATTCTAAAGAGTCATCCATGTTGTTAGAAATGACAGCATTTCATCTTTTCTTGTGTCTGAGTAGTATTCCATAGTATATATGCACCACATCTTCTTTATCCAATCATCTGTCAAAGGGCACTTTGGTTGTCTCCATGTCTTGGCCATTGTGAATCATGCTTCAATGAACATATGAGTGCATATAGCTATGTGAATAAATGTTTTCAAATTTTGGACATATCCCAGAAGAGGGGTTGCTGGGTAATATGGTAATTGGCAGAGCCAGGATCTGAGCAATGGCAGTCAAACCCTTGCCTAAATCAATGTTCTTTGTCCTGTAGTATGTGATACAGACCTGCTAGCTAGCAGACTGGCAAACTGCCATTCCGAATGGCCCACTGGTCATTTTTATTTGTCAGTCTAAGCTAGTAAGAGATTTGTGACTGATTGCTATCAAACAAATAGTGTAGTATTAGATATTTGATAAATTATAGACAGCAAAATTCGTTGTAATATTTTACTTTATTTAAAAATTAGCATATGTAACAACTTGGTACAGAAAGTGTCAGGAAATAGAGGTTGCATGTCCTATTTAAAGAACAGAGAAATACATGGGAATAATAGATCTCTGAACTTTATCTTTAAAATGAGAATTCCTACTCATGAGGCCAGTGTTCAAGATATGCCCTTCTAAGTGTGAAAATACAAATATTGAGAAAATGTGTATAACTTTGTGTACAAACATATGTGATGAATGTTTAGAATATACCTTGGAAACTATTATAGGTATTATTTATCTTTATAGTATAAAAAATTGAGTTTAGTGAGTTACACAGCCAGTAGGTGATGGGTTCAGGATTTAATTCCTATACTGTTTATCCAAAGTACTTACATTTTCTAATGATAATGTAATCTTTCAGACACTTGACAATTATAAATTATATGTGTTTGAAACAAGATGCTGGAAAGCTGTGGGGTTATTTTAAAATCTAATTTTTACTAACATAGTAGCTGAATAAATGAATTTTGTAATTTCCTTTTTGATTGGTAATTTGGAATAGAATTTTATTTCACCATTGAACATTTTACATAATATATAACATTTTGAGATTTAAATAAATTTTAAAAATTATTTTCCCATAGGGATGTGTGTAAAATACAAACCCACACAGGACTCCTATCACACGAAGACATTCCCAAACCGAGTGACTCTTTAAAATATAATAAAACTATTTATGATGTGATACACCACTTGAGTGGAAAAATGCCAGAAGGAGTTCATCCTAGTCAGTCTTTACCTGAGGACCACACTGAAAGAGTGATTCAACTTTATAAGCAACATTCCTCAGTTCTTAACTTTCTCAGGTAAGTCCATGGATGTGCTAATTTAAAAATATAATTATGGCTTGGTAGAAAAATACCTAAGTATGGATGGATAGGTAGATAGCTAGATAGGTTTTGATAGTATTTGTTTTTTAATAAAATATTTAGTAAATTTTCAAAATATACATCACCTTGTAATATATAACTTGGAAAAATAATAGCAAATAAGGATTTTATAACTTATCAAATTTATAATCTAAGGCAATCATTCTCAAAATTTATCATCTGTCCCAATCATTAGGATGACATGGTAAATACATTGCTGGCCCTTACCCAAAGAGTTTATAATGCTAATTTGCATTTATAATAAATGTCAAGTGATACTGATTCTTCTGGTCCATGGCCTCATTCTGAGAATCCTCATATAAGTCAAGTATATAAATCCATTGAACAAAAAAGGAGTGAAACCAATAATTTATTCTTCAGATTACTGTTAGTACAATCTGAAGTTATGGGCACCGTGAACTTTTAGTCTGCATAAAGTCTTTTAATATGGAAATAATGGGCAGGTGATATTTTCCAGAAATGGCTGATAGAAAATACAGGAAAAATACTTATCATTATAATGTCTGCAAAGATTAAATGGCAAGTCACCAAGAAATGGAAAAGCAGAGCTCATTAAAACTGTAAGAGGAGTGTTGCTGAGTATCTAGCACTTCTTCTGCCTATGTTTGAGGTGTCCTTTCCCACTGGAACTCCCCACATTGATAGATAGTGTTGTTACTCCATTTTCCATGCTCCTGTATCACTAAAATAGTATTTGTTACTGGTTATTATTTATGCATTAGGATTACTATATGTTGAAATATGTTACTGTGTTTTTATATTTGGCTTACTTATGTATGGAGTCTACCCCATAGTTGACCAGAGATATTCATCTATCTTACCAGGAATGGGGATGGAGAGTAAGAAGAGGCCACTTTTAGCAGGAATACAAATGAAAGATTTGGTGTTCAGTTTTTAAAATGTTTACGTCAGAATTTTTCAGTCCCTAGCAATACGTTGGTCTTAAAATTAGGAATGGTACTGAACAAAATACAGTAGCTTTTCTTCATTTCTTAGATTTGTACTCTCATGATAATAGCCAAAACTGGCTTGAGTTTCCTGTTGCTTGGAAAAGATCTAGAAGTTTCTAAGTCATTGAAGGTGATTGAGTGAAGACTCCAGCAGCCTTTTATAGTGGATTCTGGGTTGGCAAATAAAGAAGCAGGAGGGCAGCTGGCTCTAAAGCCACAGTGTGAATGATAAATGTATGAGAACTGGAGAGTGGCTAAGTCAATTATGAGGGCCCTCTTGGTCCCTGATGGAGCTAAGAGGTGAGATACAGGATTGCCAACTCAGGCCTCAGCAGCAGATGCCCACATGGCAGCTAGGCTTCAGGCATAGAGGGGACATTGCCAAAGAGACTGAGCAACCAGAAAACTAGTCATGGACCTTCGTGTACAGATATAAGAGTCCCTCTAACCTACCTCATGGAAGCCCAAGTGCAGGGGTGATCCATGTCCTGAGATGATGCCATATACAATGTGGAGATTCCTTCTTTATAAAAACAATATCAAATTAAAATACAGAAAAAAATTAGATACGTGGCTTTAGAAGTGGCTCATACAAGTGAGGAAGCCTGAAGTTAAAGCTTTACTTACTGGACAGTAAACCTGCCTCTTCCCAGAAGCCCTCTGGCAGTGGGTAGGGGAGGGCCGAGATTGGGATTGTTTATCCTGAAGAACATAATTACCATAAAGAAACTGTTCTGGTCGGAAGAGCCTAAGATATGTGAAGGTTCAAGTCTGCACTTTCTCTCTTTTTCTCCATACCCAATCTGGGTAGGAGAATGAGAAATATTCTATCATTTAAGGAAAATGGCACACCACAGACTCATGCATGAGTGCGCACCTCACTCATTTGTGAGCATGTGAGGGCAGGAGCCACATCTCATTTATCTGGCATCTCTGGACACCCAGGGTCACTGATAGCACAGAATGGGTCCAGTGGTCATTAAATATTTATTAACATTTTCTTTCACAGAGCTTTGCTTTTTGAGCTCCTGGGCTAAAAGGAATAAAATTTTAAAATTGAGTTTCAGAACACTCTAATAGGAACAAAGAACATTTTGTGATATATAAAATTAAGGGGTAAAGCATCTATATTCCTGGAGGGAAGATGTAACCAGTGAGAAAGTCAAGTCACAGAAAATTAGGCTGGGTACTATGAATGTTATACATTGCTCTTTAGTGATAATATTGAACTATGAACTCTTAAGAATGACTTTTATTATTAAGATATTTATTCCATCATACCTATATTAGTTTGCTAGGGGGCTATCATAACAACATACCACAGACTGGGTGGCCTAAACAATACAAAATTATTTTTTTCACAGTTCTGGAGCCTGGACATCCAAGATCAAGGTGCAGGTAGATTGGGTTTCTTCTGAGGCATCTCTGCTTGGCTTGCAGATGGCTGCCTTCTTTCGTGTCCTCACATAACATTTTCTCTATGTGTACATATCCCTGGTGTCTCTCCATGTGTCCAAATTTCATCTTCTTATAAGCACTGGTCAGACTGGATTAGGGACAGTCTTAACAGCCCTGTTTTACCTTAATCACTGCCTTAAAGGTCTTACTTCCAAGTCACATTCTGAAGTACTGAGGGATAAGGTTTCAACATACGACTTTAGGGGGGCATAATTCATCTCATAACAATGTCATATGTGTTGTATTATTAAAAATATGTAATTGATTGCTATAGTTTTGTATTGCTATCTGTGAAGTAATAGGCATAATGTTTCTTGTGATTCCTGCCTGTTATGGACTGAGATGTGTTAGCCCAAAGTTCACATGTTGAAGTCCTAGCCCTCAGAGTGACTGCTTTTGGAGATAGGACCATTAAGGATGTAATTACATTAATGATGTCATAAACGTTGATCCCTAAGCCTGTAAGACTGGTGCCTTTATAAAATGAGGAAGAGATACCAGAGATCTTTCTTCCCCCTCTTTCTCTGTGGGAGCGCAGAGAAAAGGTCATGCAAGGACACAGCAAGAAGGCAGCTATCTGCAAAGGGGAGGAAAGGCCTCACCAGCAACCGAATTTTCAGGCATCTTGGTCTTGGACTTTTTGCCTTCATGTTACAGAACAAACAAGGGGGGCCTGGGATGATATACTATTATTGAAAGAAGCCCCCAGGTCCGTTATGTCCGCCACCTGAGGAAAGACATCTCTCAATGCCAGAGATTCATGAAAAGGAAAGGAAATGTTTATTTTATGCTATACAAACTTAAAGTAGTGACCTAATGTCTTTATCAAAAATCCTAAAGTCCCTTAAAACACCCACAAACAGACAGTCCTTCCTTCCTTCCCCCTTTGCCCAGTCCAGAGTACCATATCTCAGGAAAGGAAATAGAAGTCCATGGCTCAGGCAGTCCCTGGTTATTCCCAGTTAGGGTTATCTCCCGTCTCGACTGGGAGACCTCCCTGGGTTCCCGGTACCCTCAGCTGAGTCGCCGGGATCTCTGCTAAAATCAGGTGGTGGTTCCCCCTTCTAAAGCTGTGGGGGTCCCCACTCTGGCAAAGGCACGTGGTCCTCTTTCCCAGGGCCACGGGAGTCCCCACTCAGTCAAAACCGTGTGGTTCTCTCCCTCAGGGCTGTGGGAGTCTCCACTCTGTCAAGGCCTCGTGGTTCTCCTCTCAATGGCTGCCGTGTCTGGGTTTAAATCCTTGCGCCAATCTTCCTCTGCAGCCTCATTTCTGACTCCTCCTACACTCGGGCACACTTGCCCTCAATCTGCTGTCTTCTCCAGCTTTTCTGGTCGCCATCGTGGGTCTGAGCAGGTGTGACCCCATGTCATGGAGCCAATCTTCTCCGAGCTCCCATGCAGGGACTGTAACTCGGGGGACCTGCCCCCAAGTCCCATCTTGGGGGGAGGTCCCTTTCCATCCCCCTGGCCTAGAGCATGGCCATAGCTATTTAGCATATCTAAGTGACCAGCCAAAGGCTATAGGTATGTTAAATGACCACGCCATGGATTAGCTGCAAAGCTGCCCTGCATGTCCTTGCTCTGTGTGCCCCTTCCCCCAACTCACACCTGTGGGGGAAGGAGTGGAGACATCTTAAAATCTCCTGGACACCTTGAGTTCTGGACCCCATTTCAAATGCCCATTTGGGGTCCCCCCTCTTGGCTGCAGCCTGTAACATTCAGAACCATGAAAAAATAAATTTCTCTTGTTTAACCTACCCAGTCTGAGGTACTCTATTATGGTGGCCTAAGCAGAGTAACACAGTGTCTAGTATCTTCTGATATAATTTCATTCATTTAAAAGTAATAATTATTTTTATGATGTGATTATTTTTTGTTGAAATTTTTTTTATTTCTAATTTCATAATATAAAACTAAAACAGAAGCAGAATATAAACAGCGTGAACCCTACACTGAAACTATAAAGTGGGATAATATAAAGCTACTACAACTCTTATTTCTAATTCCATTGATTTTTTTGGAAATTGTTCATTTACCAAAATAAATGCACTTAGGAAAATCAACTCACTTCCCTTTACAAGTAAATTCAATTCCATGTGATGTTACTTCTTTTATCTTTAAAAAAACGCTACCTTCTTTCTTATGCATGCCCATTATTATGCCTTATTTAATGGAATTGCATTTAAGAATAAAAATATTTCAAAGCAAATAAGTGATTCTGAAGCAAACTGAACTGGGGTAAAAGAGCATGGCTTTTGAATCAGGTAGATGAAGGCTTAAATTCTAGCTCCTTTATACTCTTGTGAGTTTGCACAAATTATTTAACCTGTTTAAGTCCCAATTTCAATATCTGTAAAATTGAGGTTTATAATTCTCAAACTTGGTTGATTAAAGAAGGCAAATAATAAAATATGTAATATATGATGCATATATATGATGCATAGATGAGAGCAATGATGATGAAGTGTAATAAATGATGATTAATGTCTTTCATGTGCTAAAATGTTTTCTTAAGTTATTCCAGTACAGTAATCATTAGTGACATACTGAAAACTGATTCTTTTGGTATCATTATCATTGAAATAGACTATATAAAAAAATCTGTTCTTCTAAAATCTGTTCTTCTGTTCTTCAACAGGCATAAATGTCTGTTGACATAAGCATACCAGAAAATCCGGCATTTATCAACTCTGTCTTTATATTTATAAGATAAATGGAACCTTTATTTAAATGTTTATAAGTTTCAAACCAAAGACACATGAGTTTTGTTTGAATTTTACCACTTCATGTGTCTTAGTCCTTGATTGATTCAATAAAGTAAATGCTTTCACTCAATAAAGCAAAAATTCTAATGCCATTCTTATTTTAGAAAGTTAGTTGTGCTTTTAAAATCTATTGGAATATTAACTGTGAATAAAAGGGGGACATTTTCATACTTAACTAGATTTTATTGTTTGTGCAATATAGAAATCAAATAGTTTTCTAATAATATCATTAAACTCTGTGATACCTGAGATAGTCATGCGCACTTGGAGCATTATTGTTGGCACAGCTCCGGTAGTGCTGACATTAACAAGGGAGGTTTCTGTTGTGACATTTTGCAGTAAGAGGATGCAGGTATGGAAGAATGATTTTTATTAAAGCCAAGCCATTTCAATTTATTGCTGTTTTATCAGTAAATATATGCCTATCAGGATATGTTGACTGTGATAAAATTCCTCAACATTCAGAATGTGGCAGCATGGGTAATAAAACTGGGTCATTAATCCAAAATACACACATATGTTTCATCAAGGAAATAAAGGTATTAAACTCAAAATGATAATAAATTTTATTAGTTTCCCCATTTAAATTTGGTGACAGTAGGTGAGGACTTTTGTACAAGTGAAATTATATTTATCTTGTGCAGTTACTGAGAAACTATAATTTTTGGAAGTTAAATTTAAAATTTAATAACGCATTACATCTAATTTTCTTTTGTTCTACTAATGTTAAACTTGGAAGAAATATGCAAATAGAAAGCCTGGAATGTAAAAGTGTAATCAAATCAATTATGAAAGTCAACACAATAAAACTAATGACCAGACATAAACTATTGACAAAACATAATTGTAAATACTGTATGAGGGACTGATGAAGTTAGGCCTTAAGATAGATGCAAAATAAAAATAAAGAAACAAGTCTCCTGTACGGGAGGAAAAATAAATTTTCTGCTTTCCTCCTAGGTTCTTGGCTGTCATAAAAGATAGATTAACAGGAGGAAAAAGAACAATTTAATTAGATGACTAACTATGGTAGCCTCACAAAGATATGAGACTCAAAGACATCCAGGAGACTGAGGCTTATGTACCACTCTGAGCTAGTGAAAGGGGTAGGAGTCCAGGGCCTGGAAAGATTGGGGGAATGGAGGGATCCTGAGAGGGGAGGAGGAAGTGTTTGTTAAATTTGGGTTGCCTTGCCTTGCAGGAAAGTCACTCTGATAAAGAGTTTTCTCTAGAAATAGCTCTCCTCCTGGTGAGGGCTTGTTTTCTAATGTAAATTTCTTTTGTAAGTGTAGATTTTCATTACAAAAGGGTAACTTCCATCCTGTTTTCAGAGCTCCTGTTTCTGTAGTTTCTCAGAATAGTGGAAATGCCAAAGAGGCATATTTTGGGGTGACCTATTCTGTTTGACTTGACTTCATAATGGCATCTGTAAAATGCTGTTAAAGAACAAAATTCAACTAAGTTTTAAAGATCTGATTGGCTTTATTCAACAATTCATGAATCAGACAGCATCCAGTCTGGCAGATGGGAAGGAACTCCAAAGAGTTATGCAAGGCAAGAGATTTTATAAACAGAAGGGAGCACGAACAGGGATATTGCACTGAAGCAATGAAGGAGGGGGGTGGAATGCACTGCCCCAAAATGTGCCACTTTGGCATTCAGATTGTTTTCAGCTGAAGGCAGTTGAGACAGACTTGGGGTTGTTTTCAGCTGAAGGCGGTTGAGACAGACTTGGGGAAAGCTTTCCTCTCCCTTAACTGCCTCCAAGAATATAGACAGGGGACCTGGCCCAGAAAGAGAGTTACTACCAGAGGTAACTTTTTATACCAGAGAGACTTACCTGCATGGTAGGGCAAACATCTGTTGACCAAACATCTGCTCTTCTCATCTTCCTGTGAATTATCTTCCTCCCTTTTGAAGCCCCACACCCTTACCCCTTTTTCCTCAATTACCTGACTACCTGGGAGTTTCACATCTTTGTGGGGCTCCAGTAGGTATATATTTAATTTGTTTTTCTCCTGTTAATCTTTCTTATATCAATTTGATTATTAGACCAGCCAATGAACCTAGAAGATTTCCTTTAGGGGATGGCAGGGCACTACCGTTGATAAGAAGAGATCTGACCAGGTTACTAGGGAGGAGGAGGGAGGGGCCCTAGGAGGAGGTTGCCTGAAGCAGTGGTAAACAGTGATGGCATTGGCAGAGAAGCTGAATGCCTCAGAGAGCATGGAATTATGGGCTAGAAGATTCGAAATAAAAGAAAGACGGTGAACGTGGCCTAACACAAAAATCATAAGTTTACTTAAAACATTATGAGATCATTTTCGTGATTACATGTCACAATATATTTAATGTGTGACCCAAGACAACTTTTCTTCTTCCAGTGTGGCCCAGAGATGCCAAAAGGTTGGATACCCCTGCTAGGATTTCAACTTAATGGGGCTTCATCTCATTGAATTCTTACATAGGCTTTAGGTTGGCTCCTCCTGCTAAGAAGTAGTGTTCCATTCAAATTAGATTTTATTTAAACATATAATAATTTGAATGTAATGAAGATTCATAAAAATAGGTAGGAAATAGAGGCAGTTAAAGTGTAAAAATCAAAGAGAAGGGATGATGTTTGACTTCCAAACGAAGGAACTTTATCTGTGTGTGGCACAATTTCTTTTCACTAGCTTCGACTGACCCCAGGCCACATCAAACTTAACAACTCTAGAACTATGTCCATTGCTTCCATCTCCACTAGGGTTCCCTTCCTTACTTCTCTCTTCTTATGCTTGTCTGTGCTGTCTTCAAGGTTTAAGCTTTTGGAATCATATTAAGTCTCCTTTCTGCTTTTTCTTTGTCTGACTTCTCAGTAGTTCTAGGGCTGCAGACTGCTGAGGGTGTTCCAGAGTTGACTACTAGGTGAGGCATTCTTTTCTGGTAAATGCTTATGGTGGATGGAGTTCTATGCTCATTAAATGAGTTATACCTACACACCAAATGCCTTCTAGGAAACACTCCTGCCAAAACTGTGTTAGATGTCTGTAGGTTCTGTGGTGATGGATGTGCATAGGAAGAGTTTGGATTAAAATATTTCAGGGAAGTTTACAGTGGAAATGTATAAAGCCTTAAGTGTGATAAATATGTTTTAAAGTATAAAATAATATAAATAGGTATTAGATTTTGAATATATAAAATACTAAAAATAGATATTTTCTGCTTCAGCTATTCTACTATAAGTTTGTATAATCGAAGAGGTCACACATTTTGGATAGTCTCTTTGGAAAAATAAGTGAAGAATTGTGTTATATTAGGGGTTATTTATATTCAGGCATATCTGTGATAGGCATTTTATGAATATTGAGTGACCAATAACCTACTTATTAAATGTTTTACTGTATTCAGACTTTTTTCATATATTTTTCAATTTTAGAGTGTTATTACAAAAGATGGTTAGTAGTTTGACAATAGAGGGTAAATCATGACTCTATATCCATTAACATATAAGGATAGATGTGGATGGTTAAAGACACTTAGTAAGATCTTTCTCATTAATCAGTTCTCTAATGGAAACATCATATACACATTTTATTGTTAAGGGGAAATTTTTAAATTATATTTTTAAATATTAAAATTATAATTTATTACAGTATATTACATTGATATTACTTAATTGAAATTGAAATGCAAGTGATATACAAATCATGAGTAGTATACCATAATAATTGGGATTTTTCTTCTTAAATTTTAGTGCAAAAGGAGCATATATTGCTCATATATTGCCAGAATTTCTACTTGAACCAGAAGATTATAAGAAGTGGATTGAACTTAGAGTAAGGAAATATAATTTCTTGGAACAACTGCACAAATATTATTGAATTTGCTGATTTTTGGTCTGTGCTTAAAGATTTCATTTTAGAATCCTTGTTTTTTTATTTATGAGGTGTCCTAAAGATTATGCTTCTCTGGAACATGTATGTATATACACACACATAAATATTTTTGTATTTGTTTAAAAATCTCTGTGAAGCCTAGGCAGAAATGATCACATGGTTTTCTTAAATATGTAAGTAATTGCTTCTTTTAGGGAATTTAGAAATGCAGAATGGTGTGTGCTTATGTAAACTTTTTGTTACCGTGAATTTTTAGAATATATATCTTCCAAAGAAAACACTGGTTTAATTTGACCACCACTTCACACTTCCCTTCTTCAGTTTTAGAAGAGACTAGGGAGAAATTAAGCTGGATATGCATAGTTTTTTTTTTTCAAATTATGCAATTCATTTTATGCAAATCTATTGAGAAGGGGCATTGTTTCGAGCTGTCTGGAGGCTTTGAGGCAAAGCTAGCTGTGGTACTGTTACTATGGTCACCGCATGACATTAGTAGCAGAGCCTGGAGCCTGTTCGTTGGCACTCTCCTGACTCCCTGTGGCTTAATTCACAGTGTGGCTCTTAGAGGCTCAGAGTTCAGAATAATTTTGCCTCTCATTCTGCCACTTCTGCCCCAGCGCTAGTGGGTACACTGAATGAATAAATCCATGACCTCAATAAAGGGCTATGAGTTGTAGAAGTTAGCTGTGTTGATAGTTCTATGATTGGCACATGGGAAATTACAGATCTTGATGAATGTATAAGAAGGATGTGTAAAGGTTTTATTTAAAGGTAAAAAATATGCTAAGTGGTTAAAATTTTGAACATACATTTGCCTTGCTTTCTAATCAATGTTATGATTTTTATTTATTAAAGTCTTCTGCTCCTGATACCTTGCTGATGTATTCCCCTATACCAAAGGAAAAGCAACGTTTTACTATAGATATGGCCATTTTTGAAAACTGGAGTAAACGGTCATGGACAGATTTATTCCTTCAACTATACAAGGTACCATGTCCCCTCGTGTTCGTTGCTGGTGTTTTTGGGTAATTTACAGAGATAATGTATTAATAAAAGTATAGGTAATACTACTGTAAAAGATTTAAAACCACAGTGGCCCAAATAAGATAGAATTTTTTATTCATTTTCTCATGGAACTGTTGGGAAGTGAGTGATTTAGAGGTAGTGGGGTGTCTCTTCCATCCTCAGTACTGGGCTTTCACCTTTGGGTCAATTTCTCAAAATAAGGAAGACCAGATAAAGAAGTAAGAAGACAGGTAAATTCCTTTTGAGGTTGTTACCTGGAAAATGCATCATTTCCCTTCACATTCCGTTGGGCAAAACTTAGTCATATGACTGCACCTAGCTTTAAGGGAAGTTGAGAAATATGATTTGTAAAATTGGTAGCTACATGTGTTTTCCAGTCTTAAAAAGAAGGATTAAAGAATGGATATTGGTGGAAAGTATGGTCTCCACCTGTAATGCATAGTAGTCTCTTGTAAAATTATTCTGGACGGATGTTCACTAGCAATCATATAACTGTAGGCAAGACCAGGTGTTGATGAGATTCTCCAGTTGACCTCATGCCAAGATGCATGTGTGGGTAAGTTAACATATAAATTGTGCCTTCACAACCTACATCTTTATTGCTTATACTGGTTGCAGTCCTGGAATCATTTCCTATGGTTCCAAATGTGGCATGCTAGGTCTTGCTCACTAAGACCAATGGAGGCTTTTGCTGTATCCTCACTCACAGACAAGGTGAGCTGCAGGACAGGAAGTTAAAATGAAGCAGTTATGTTAAATAGAAGCAGCAATTCGTCACTCAAAGGAAAGGACAAAATTAAAAGCTAAACAGTATTATATGTCACAAAGTGCTTTTTTAAATGTTTAATCTTCACAACTGGTCCTCCCCAGTGTACAGATGAGGAAACTAGGGTTCTCATGCTTACTTTCTTCCAAGATCATTTTTCACCTGATTTTGGCCATATAAAACCACATGACATAGGAAACATTTATTTCTTCTTTGTTGTTCTCTGCCAGGGCCCAGGAGCCCAGGCCCTCTTGCTCCTCCCTGGTTATCTAAAGCCTTCACTGCAGCCAGCCAGCCAGGCCTACCTTCTGAAGAGTTCCTTTCGCTACCTGATTCCCGCGTAGTCCTCTTCTTCTCTTCTTTCCACCTCAGCCTGCCCTGTTTCTCTTCCTGAATGTCAAGAGAAGAAATCCTGTTTTTTCTTGATTAGTTCTCAGAAGAATGTATGAGTGTGTTTGTGACTCTCAACCAAATTTAGAATTGTGAAAAGACATTTTCTTAACTCCGGTCTGCGTTATCTATCATTTTGCCCAGTGATAAGTAGGAGCAACTCCAAAACAGAAGAGCAGCACATGCCTTATTGTAAGGACAAACTAGTCCTAATCTTGGTTTGTGGATGTTATTCACACACTTATTCATTTATGCATGCAGTCATTTACATGTTTGTTCATTTAATGTGTGTTCCCTGACCTATTAAGTCCATGAATTAGAAACCAGTATAATTTGTAAACTTCATAGAGTGTCAGCTACATAGTGGATGCTCTACAGATATTTCTTGAATGGATTTATTCAACAATTATTATGTTTCAGGTACTATACTAGGCTCTGGGGGTATAAGAGTAAACTTGATATAGTTGGTCTCCTAGAGAATTTTGTGGCTTGGAGTATATGAGAACAGTATATATAATTCCAAGGAAATATGATAAAGACTATGACAATGGAAGCCCAAAGAACTGAGGATGAGTGCCCATGGAGAGGAACCTAACATTCCTGTGGCTTGGGGAAGGCTTCCGGGAAGAAGATCAATTTAAACTGGGCCCTAGGAAATGACAGGTGTTTGCCAAGCAAGGTAGGGCATAGTTTAGAGAGAGAGAAAAAGTACAATTTATGTAAAGGTGGCGCTAGATGAGTTTTATTGCAGGAAAGTTGTTGGGGGGAGTAGTATTTTTCAAGACAAAGGGAATTGAATGTGGCAATACTCAAGGTTACATGGAGCATGGTGCATTTTGAGGAATAAACACAGTATGGCTTGTGGTAAGAGCAGTGCACTGTGGTCCCAGTCAGAAATTGGTTTACTTCATAAGCAATCCAAGGAACCTGGACTTTATGGACTTGAGCACAAGGTCAGTACAGAGCTATTGAAGGGTTATAACAGAAGATTGACATAATCAGCTTTGCATTTTAGAGAAATCACTATGGTACAGTATAAAGACTGTTCGGGGTGTATTTTCAATGTCTGGTGCTTGGAATGTTGGTCATAGTGGGAAAGATGAGAAAGGGGCAGCTTTCATAAATATTAGAAGTAGACCTCAGTAGGACTTGGTGCATGGCTACATCTTGGGAGTGAAAGAGACAGAGAGGACAAGGATGACAGTGGATTTCTTATTGGGTGGTTGAGTTGAATTTCAGTCACTGAAATAGAAGACAAAACATAATAACAGTATTTTGTTGGGGGTGGAGAGTGAATTAAGAAGACATGATAAATTACTTTTGGTCCTGCTGTATTATAGTGCCTGGTATGATTACTGGGTGGGTATATCCTTTAGTAAGGAAACAGATCTGGGTGGCAGCACATATTTGAGATTCTTTACTGATGCCATTATAAAGTCATAGGAATGGATAAGATTGCCCAGTTAGATCATCTACATAGCTGTGTTTCATATATTGTGTCTAAAGTATGGGTAACTCTAGCTGCTCTATTAAATCAGAAGTGAATTGGCAATTTCACTTGAAGAATAAGCAATGTTGTTGAGATGAGTTCACAAGTTAGAAATAAAAGGTTGTGATTTTCACACAAATCTATGTTCTTATTGTTGAATTCTTAGAAGTCATGCATTCACTGTGAGACTGCCTTTGTCAGTTCTTCTTGCTAATAGTTTAGATAACAAGGTATAGTTTGTCTTAATTTTATGTTGTTTGGGTATTTTTGATTATTAAATTTGCATGGTTGTTGTTCTTTTCTTGCATTATATTCCCAATTCACAAAAATGCTGACAAAAAATGGCTAACAGGTAAGTCATGGAAGCATAAGAGAGGGGAAACACAGTAACATACACTCAAACTCAGAATGCTATTCTAAATGTAAATTATATATAGGGATCTCATGTAAATATAAAGCATGAATCTGTATGTACTGAAAGAAGTGAATATGATGTTTTTATAGAAGAATCTGGAAGAGGAAAAGGTGGCCAGAAAGAAAGATTTGATTGATTAATAATTTCAATGAACTGTTTATTAGTTTGTTTCCAGTGTACTGTCTATCATGAAGATTTTTTTTGAATAGTGGCACAATTCTGTCAAATATTTTGATATTTTTAAAGGAAGAGCAGTGATCTTTCTGGTAAATTAAACATACTTTTCCTGAACTTCTTCAGTTCTCTCTATAATAATGCAGTATTTGTTGCTAAGGTCAGGCAAGTCCCCAGTTCTACCTAGGTATTATTCAGAATGGCATGAATCAAATTAAAATTGTATAAGCAATCATATTTCTGAGGAATATTTAAGAGTGCTTCTATAAAATATGATTGGAGAGAAGTAGAATTGGTGAACTTCTTTTATTAAATGGCTTTGTATTATGTCTCATAATGTCAGTGACATCAATGTGGAAACACACTTATTCTCACAGGTGATAACAAATATTGCATGTTTTGGTTGGCTATAACCATGGATAGGGAACATATGAATACTTCTTTGCATGTGTGTGATAAATGTGTGTGAGTGAGGTACATGATGCCATTTTATTCTCTTTATCAGTGAGAGCCCAGGCTGTAGGAGATGTGATTCTTTGTCATTTAAAGGTTAATGTCTCATGTAGTCTGGTGAAAACTTATTGGTGATATATACCAATACAGAATAAGCCATTGGCCATAGCAGGAAGGGCATTACAAGTGAGTACTTATTCGTAGGGAAATGTTGGTGACTAAAGTATATGCTCCTGTTGTGAATTCAAAGTTAAAGGAAGGAACCAGAAAAAATGTAAACACTGTCAAAGTGAGGCTACCGAGTTATGTAATTTTATTGTGATCTCTGCATATTCAGGACCTTGTTTTTCAATATTGAGGTGTGCTAGTTGTGAATGGAAGGTCACTTTCACATGAAATTTTCCAATTGGAGTGAGATTAAAAATATTATCTTCATAGCAGTGGTGTTTTCCTCTCTCTATATATATATATCTTCATTCTTTTAAGTGGCTACCTCAACTAATAACATCAAATGATGTTGTCCATGTCTTGGATACACTGGACATACACCTGTAGGATTTGAACATCATGATTTTTAATGTGGTACAAATCACTAAAGCATCAAAAGCTTGGCTTTTTCCCAAGATTTATTGGAGAAAAAATGTATCCAGTTGTTGAATGTTGAATGAATACGATTGTATAGTTTCTGCACAGCTGAGCTGGTGACTGGATGCTAAAATGCAACCTACATGTTGCTTGCTAAGAATAGAGATCCTCATCTAAGCTTTGCCTCACCAAAGTTAAGGGGGCCTTTTACTTTAAATAAGGGCATCATCAGGACAACATTGTCTTGCAAAGGGTGCCACGTTCTAATTTGCACAAAGGCACTATGTAGGTTTTATTGAAATCCTGGCAATGGAAGCTGAAGGAACATTTCTAAAGATGAATGCTGTTAAAGACTAGAATACTGTTTTCAGAGTTGAGTTTGTTACCTTCTGCTTTTGAGCATGATATGCTCATCGACCAGCTTAACATTTGATTGGTATTGGAAAGTAGATTTTAATAAAAAAAAATCTCTATAATTTCCAGCTTCATGGTAGGCCTGACAATTTGTAACAATCAGAGTGAGCACCCATTTTGTTAACCTATGGCAGGGGTGTCAAACTCATTTTCACCAGGGGCCACATCAGCCTCGCGGTTGCCTTCAAAGGGCCACATGTAATTTTAAGACTATATAAATGCAACTACTACTTTTTTTTATAAATACAGATTTTTTAAAAAGATTACTTATTTATTTATTTTTAGAGAGGGAAGGGAGGGAGATAGAGAGAGAGAGAGAGAGAGAGAAACACCAATGTGCGGTTGCTGGGAGTTATGGCCAGCAACCCAGGAACGTACCCTGGCTGGGAATCGAACCTGGGACACTTTGGTTCCCAGCCCGCGCTCAATCCACTGAGCTACGCCAGCCAGGGTAAATGCAACTACTTCTTAACAGGTAAGTGACAGCTTGGCACTGCCACCAGGTAGAAACAAGGTGCTGGACTAGATAAAACAAGGTGGAGGTCTGGATTCAGTCCGTGTTTAGCCATGTGTTTGCCACCTGTGACCTATAATGTGAGTTAGAATTTTCTCAGTGCAAATAATAAGAAAAAAAACTTACTGAATATATAAAGTGATAGAGAGCTCAGTATGTTCATCATCTGGGTAGCTGTAGACACCTTGACAGAGATCATAGCTATCATTTATCTCAGTAATATTCTGTGGATATTCTAATTACTACCACTAACATCATGTCCTAAATACTGTGTTGAATTACAAAAATTGATGGTCTGTGTGGTTTCTTAATGCACATTTAGTGGCTTACAGGGACTAAAATTGGGAGAAAAGAGCTATAGAGTGAAAAAAAATGGCATAGGTCAGAAAGCCAATATTGAAGACACCAAATATCTAAATAGGCAAAGGAAGAGAGTCTTGCAGATGAGCTTCTAATAGGTAAAAAGGTAGCAGTGACACTTTATGACATTGTGAACAAGGAAGAGAGACAGCTTTTGAGGGAGGACACGTTTCACAGTATCAGATGAAATTGAGAGGTTGCTGACGGTGGTCATGATGAGTTGGGAAAAACCACTATGTGGGCCTTGGTTTGATGAGCTAAACAAATGAAGGGAAGTGGTGACAGAAAGGGTAGAAAACTCTCTCAACTGTTAGAAGTGGTAGAAGGAACAGATAAAAGAACCCACGGGAATTCCAGTTTGAGAGAGCCCTTAAAAACTGAGTGTACAACTGAGCATGTTTAGATATTACTGAAAAAGAACTGGTCGGGAGGGAGAAGGTAAAGATCCAAAAGCTATAAAAGATAACTGGCGCAGGACTGGTCCCATGAAGAGGAGAAGGCCTGGTGTCTAGTACAAGCGAAGGGATAAGCGATCACTCAGTCATTGTGGCTGCAGACAAGGAAGAAGAGTGAGTGTAGATGCAAGTGCTTTTGGACACATGTAGGACACCACAATGTGCACATTAAGATGTCATCCCTTTGCTCTTTGAAGTTGAGATAAGGGATCTCAGAAAAGCTAGCATATAGGCTGAGAAAGAGGGAGGTTTGATAAAAAAGATTGAGAAGCCAAGAGCCAGGGATAATGGGAGTGAGAAGACAAGGGAAACGGGGAATTCTGGGCCTGCAGATTATTTTTAGATTAGGAACAGTTACATCTCAGGTTTCCTGAAACCCCCGGGGGTCATCTCCACGGATGATGTGTACAGTGCTTTAGAACCATGATGAGGTTTTTTGTTGTTACTGTTGGCTTTTAAATTTTTTTAAATTATAGTTTACATTTAATATTATTTTGTATTAATTTCAGGTGTACAAATAGTGCTTAGACAGTCATATACTTTACAAAGTTCTACCTTGCTATTTCCAGTACCTATAACGACTACACATAGTTATCACAATATTATTGACTATATTTCCTATGTTGTACCATCCCATAACTATTGTGTAAGTTCTTCTCAATCCCTTCACCTTTTTTTTTTGCACAGTCCTTCAACCCCCATCACCTCTGGCAGCCATCAGTCTGTTCTCTGTCTCTGTGATTCTGTTTCTGTTTTTTTGATCAAGTATATTGTTCTTTAAATTCCACATATAAGTGAAATCATATGGTATCTTGTCTTTCTCTGACTGGCTTATTTTACTTAGCATAATATTCTCTAGGTCCATCTGTACTGTTGCAAGTGGTAAGATTTCATTCTTTTTTATGGCTGAAAAATATTTCGTTGTGTTTATTTACCACAACTTTTTCTATCCACGTGTGTATTGATGGGCATTCAGATTGACTGTGTCTTCTACTACCAGAAAACTCCCCTGTAGCCTTAGCCTCTTCGTAGAGCTTTCCCTCCACCTCCTGTCTTAACTGAAGCTTGTATCTTCACCCCAAAATCAGTTCCCTTGTGGTCCTCTTTAATAGGGGCTGTTGATGAACACGCTTGAATGTTTCTTTTCAAGTTTGCTTTCTCTCTTCCTTTTTCTTTAATACCCCCCATTTTTATAATTCTTACCCTGTGGAATTAAATTATGTTCTCTTTATAACAAATTTGTGATCTTGATAATATTTAGATATAGATGACTGCAATAAGCTTTGTTATGGTGATAAACATTTATGGTATGTTTGAATAATATGTATTACTTCTAGCCTTCCACTTAAACCATCTGATCAATAGAAATACAACTTTCTAAAAATTAAATCTAGTCTGACTTTTGCTAATTACTGTTTAAATTCCTTGTGCTTTTTATGCCAATTGGAAAAATAGATTACAATTACACATAAGTTTAAAACTCTGTCATTGAAGAACTAATATAATGGCAAAATTCTTGTGGAACTGGAAGTGCATATGACAGTGATAGGATAACATTCAACACATGCAATTTTGTGGTTTATAATAAGAAATATTTGTTTGGGGTTTATTCCCATTTCTAGCACAGAACTTCTAAAACCCTTGGGAATTTCTAAGTGGTGAGCTTGATCAAGGTGTCTTTTGTTACATTAATTAGGTGGCTTTTGGAGACCACCTAACTGCTGGGTTAATTATTCAAAGAATCAACTATGTGATTAGAGGGTTAGAATTTTGTTTTACCCCCCATGACCTGGAATGGGAGAGGGCCTGGAGGTTGAACCAATTGCTAATCGCCAATGATTTAATGAATCATGAGTATTTAATAAAGCCTCCATAAAAACTCAGAAGGGACAGGGTTCTGAGAGCTTCCACATTGGTGAAGATGTGGAGATTTGAGGAGAGTGGCATGCCTGGAGAGGAGGACATGGAAGCTCCGTGCCCTTTCCTCATGCCTGTCTTCCATCTAGCTGTTCCTGAGTTATATTGTTTTATAATAAACTAGTGATCTAGGAACTAAAATGTTTCTCTCAGTTCTGTGAGCCTCTAGCAAAGTAATAGAACCCATCCCGGGGTCATAGAAACCTCTGATTTATGGCTAGTTGGTAAAAAGCCTAGGTTAACAACCTGAACTTGCAACTGGTATCTTAATTTAGTTGCCAAGGAAGGGGTCATTGGAAGGTCCAGTAGATGGTGGGTTAGAAGCATAGATAACAGCCTAGGCTTTTCATTGGCATCTGAAGTAGCTGGGGGGGAGTATAGTCTTGTGGGGCCATACCCTTAATTCATGGAATCTGATTTTATCTCTGGGTAGATAATGTCAGAATTGAGTTGAATTGTTGGAGGTCGTGCTGGTGTTTGAGAATTTCCCCCCACCCCGACTCACACACTGGAAATTGGTGACCAGCCGGAGTCCTTAGATAATAAGTTGCTTCTTGTAAATTGCATAGTGTGGTACCTTATGGACTAGATACTATAGAAGCAAAAAGTTGGGAATTTAAAACGGGTATTAGACATCCTCTTATCTATCATTTTATTCTTGAATGGATATAATTAAGCAGAAAATACTGATGCCTTACTTTATTTATCTTCCTGACATAATTTTTTTTTAATTTAGTCTTCAAACTTTTATTTTGCTATTCAGGTCTAGTAAAATGTTATTGTTCTCTTTTTTATTCCATTTTAGGTTCTGATACTAACTCGGGTTGTACCACACAGTGGTAAAGATTTGCCCCCTATACATTTGTGTGATTCACCAAAAGTCAATCCTTCTTTTGAATATAGCAACATTTATTCTGACTATGAAAAAATTCTGCTCAGTTGGCTGAACACATATTATGAGAATACCCGAAATATTATATGGCAAAACTGTAACAAAGGTAAGAAAAATATTTTTTTTCTTTAGATAAATCATCACAAGTTGTAGTATGATGGTATAGAAAGAGCTGTGGTTTGGACTGAGAATTCGTCGATTTCATTTAGACTTGACTGCAACATTTATGCGCTGTTTTTCAAAAAAAAGAAAGTATTTCTTAATATCTTCAAGATCAGTTTTTTCCAAGTAAAATACAAATAATAAAAGATGCCTCTCCAATTGATTTTGAATAACAATTGATAAAAATTATGTATCGGTGCTCCAGAAGTGAAATAGCTTTAATATAATCGACAGCAGTTTCAGCTCTGTAAAGTATTAACTTGAGGTGACACTGCTCAAACTTTGTATGTACTTAGCTGAGATCAAGTGAAAACTGACTAGACAACATCTTACATTTTGTTGTGACAGTCACATTGGAGATCACTAAGTTCATAGTGCTTCATGGGTAGGTCATATTAGGCCCATACAGGGTGGGGCAAAAGTAGGTCCACAGTTGTGAGTATGTGAGAAACTGAGTTTATTCTTGTATTATTAGTTATTAGTTATTGTGTTATTTTCCATATGAACAATTGTCAGCCTACTTTTCTCCCACCTTGTATACTGAGAAAAGAGTGTTTGTAGACAGACCTGCTCCAGTGTTCAGGCAGGCACTCATTGGTTCTGCTCTTTAGGAGGAATAAGGCTCTATAGGTTTCTAACCCAAGAGCATTAAACTTGTTGAAAAAGATCCAATTTGCTAGTATAGCAGTATATTTTTTATTCACCATAAGCATTGATTATCATGAGGATGACAGTATTGATGTTGGTTGTTTCTTTGACTTCAATTAAGCTCCCCTCTTCCAAGTGCATACAATCCTGCTATGTTCAGAATGGATTGTGTTTTAACATATAATGATTAAGTTTATTTTTTATACTGAACCCTTGGACTTTATTCTAAACTTTAGAAGTAAGGGAAGATTAAAAATATGATTTAAAATGAGAATTTGAATTACAGTTGCTCTTAACTTAAAGCCATTAGTGAAGCAAACAGTGACATCAGGCTTGAAATATATTGATATGTTGGTATTAGAGAATAGTAAATATAGGATATTTTAGTACCTTCTTATTAAGGTGCTAATAATATCAAACTGTTTGACTTGAAACTGTAATTTGGTAAGATTCATATCTTATAAAAATTTATTTGAATCATTAAAAACTATAAACACAGAAGTGTAATTGCTGGATCATAAGGCAGTTCCATTTTTCATTTTTTTGAGGACCCTCCATACTGTTTTGCACAGGGGCTGCACAAGTCTCCATCCCCACCAACAATGCACTAGGGTTCCTTTTCTCCAAAACCTCACCAGCACTTGTTTGTTGCTTTACTGATGGTAGTCACTCTGACAGGTGTGAGGTGATATCTCATTGTGGTTTTAATTTTCATTTCTCTGATGATTCATGATGTTGAGTGTCCTTCCATATGTCTGTTGGCCATCTCTATATCTTCTTTAGAGAAGTGTCTGTTCAGGTCATCTGCCCATTTTTAAATTGAATTGTTTGTTTTTTATTGTGTTGAGTTGTATCAGTTCCTTATGTTTCTCATATTATCCTGTTATTGGATCTGTCCTTTTGTGAATATCTTCTCTCATTCAGTAGGCTGTTTTTTTCTTTTTGCTGATGGTTTCCTTTACTGTGCAGAAACTTGTTAGTTTTACATAGTTCCATTTGTTTATTTTTTTTCCCTAGCTGAAGGAGACATATTGGAGAAGATATTGCTAAGACTGGTGCCAAAGAGTTTACTGACTATGGTTTTGTCTAGTTTTATGGTTTCAGTTGTTATGCTTAAGTCTTTAATTCATTTCTAGTTTATCCTTGTCTACAGTATAACAAAGCAGTCCAGTGTGATTTTTTTGAATGTATCTGTCCAATTTTCCCAGCACCATTTTTCGTAGGGACTGTCATTTCTCTGCTTTTTGTTTTTGCCTACTTTCTCACATATTAATTGATCACATAAGAAAGGATTATTTCTGGACTCTGTATTCTGTTCCATTGATTTGTCTGTCTGTTTTTGTGCCAATACAGTACTGTTTTGATTATTGTAGCCTTGTAGTATAGTTTGAAGTCAGGCACTACAATACCTCCATCTTTGTAGTTTCTTCTCAAGATTGCTTTGTTTTTTTGTGGTCTTTTGTGGTTCTATATAAATTTTAGATTTTTTTTCCAGTTCTGAAAAGAATACCATTGGTATTTTGATAGAGAATGCATGAAATTATATATAGCTTTGAGGAGGATGGACATTTTTAACAATATTAGTCCTTCTAATCCATGAGCGCGGTATATCCTTTGATTTATTTGTATTATTTTCATTTTCTTTCTTCAGTGTCTTATAATTTTCAGACTATGGGTCTGTCATGTTCTTGGTTAAATTGAATTCCTAGGTATTTTATTCTTTTTGATGCAATTGTAAATGGATTGTTTTCTTAATTTATTCTTCTGATCATTCATTATTAGTGCATAGAAATGCAACAGATTTTTGTATAATTTTGTATCCTGCCACTTTACTGAATTCATTTATTAGTTCTAGTAGTTTTTGGTAGAGTCTTTAGGGTGATATATATATATATATATATATATATAAAATGAGATATGCAAGTAGTGACAGTTTTACTTCTTGCTCTTTAATTTGGATGCTTTGTGTTTCTTTTTTATCTCATTATTGGATCTAGGACTTTCAATGCTTCGTTGAATAAAAGTGGTGAAAGTGGACCTCTTTGTCTTGTTCCTGATTTTAGAGGAAAAGCATTCAGCTTTCCACCATTGAATATGATATTAACCCTTTGCTGTTTTTTAAACTACTGAGACCCATGACTTTGTAAAATCTTTGTACTTTCTATTCTTTCTGCTTGGAGCATTATTTTCTTTGGTATCTTTATAATTCCTTTTCCTACTTCACTCAAGTCCTGCTTAAATATCACCTTATTTGAGAAGCTTTCCCAATAACCACTCTAAAATAGCATATCCCTCAGTCCTCCTGTTTCTTGCTCAACTTTTCACAATAGCACTTTCCCGAAGTAATACATATAGTCTCTCTCCTCCAGAACGTGAGCTTCTTAATAGGAACAATCTTGTCTGTTTTGTTTTTCCCTACTGTGTTCCTAGAGACTAGCATGGTACCTGGAATATAATAGACACCAAATATTGTTTAAGTAAATAAATGAATGAATGAATAAATGAGTGAATAAAGAGAGATGTTCAGGTTTTATACATTTTTCTACCCTATTGCAAATAATTGAATATATTTTAGCTTACTGATTTGTACCTTCTGGTACAAATGTGGTGATCAGGTTGAATAGTTGAGGTGGAGGGAGGCACTTTTCATCTTCAGCATGTTTTTCATGGTTACTAACTGCAGAAGTATGTGAATAGAAACTCTGTGAAATGTTTCATTTAGGTTAACTTGGACTGAGAAAAAGTCATAATTAGTGCCCTGGATTTTAACCTCTCAACTTAGACATTTACTGCACCTACCCCACTTCATTGAGAAGGCCTAACAATGCTTACAACTTGATGTACTTATGTTGTGGTGAATAGATGGATAGGGTTGTACCCCAGACCTTTTAATTAAGAAACTCAGAGGGCGAGGAGGCCCAGCAATCTGTATGTTATATGATTATGCTGCATAATAATATATGAGACAGACAATAGTATCACAAAAGGGGTTTCATTAATGCTTTTGAATTGTTCACAGAATCATATTTGTTTACCAGTTATGTTTCCAAAAATTTTCTCCTTTAAACAATAATTCCTTTGAGGTAATAATGGCTGAGAATTTTCCCCAATTAATGTCAGACATGAAACCACAGATGTGGGAAGCTCAGAGAATACCAAGCAGGAAAAATGTCCAAAAGCCTTTATACCTAAGCATATTATATTCAAACTGCAGAAAATCTAAGATAAAAAAGTCTTAAAAGAAGCCAAAGGAAAGCCAAAAAACACCCACCTTACCTATAGAGGAGCAAAGATAATAATTACATCTAACTTCTCGGCAAACATACAATCAGGAAGAGAGTAGAGTAAAATACTTAAAGTATTGAGAGAAGTAAAAGTACCTTGGGTTCTGTACCCTGTGAAGTTATCTTTCAATAGTGAAGAAGATGACATTACAGAGAATAGACAGAGGACCTCACTCACACATTTTCTAGATAAGCTGATCAGTTGGCAGATTTCAGCATCATCCCTATGGATATCCTGTCTTGGTCACCCTGATGGGGCAACAAATAAATAATATTTTAGTTGGTGATGGATTTCCCAGAAACTCTGGACAGTTTAGCAGTGGAGTCAGCAGGATAGGTTGCCTCCATATCACAAACCTGCTGAGGTCGTTTTATCAGCACCTCCACCCCCATTAGGACAGGTCTGACACATTTCTTATCTTTAGAATTTCTTTGCAATGGTGGAGCTAAGAAGGATGTGACAAGTGGGGGGGGGGGGGCTTGCTCTTGATAGAGGGAAAGCATAGAGAGTATCATGTAGTAAAGCTCAGAGGCCCAGCCATCCAGGACTTTGAATATTAGGACAGTAATTTAGAACTTTATTCTGTTGCCCTTGGAGAATCTTAGGAAATGGCTGAGCTGGTGACTGCTGTGATACAATGGGCATTTAAGGTCTGTCAGCAGCAAGTCAATGGGTTGAAGTGCAGCAAGATCATATGCTTTCGATCAGCACACCTGAGTTTAACCCTTGGAGCACACAGACAAACTGATATTTTAACACTGGACTCTCTATGAATTCTCCCAAGGTTATGTGGTGCCAGTCAGTCAAAGTTTGATTAAGTCACATTTCCTAACTGTAGGTCGTTGCTGGGAGCCACAGTTAAAAAATAAAAAGATACTCATCCTTGTTTAAAACGACATAACATGGGATTTATTCTAAATGTTGTGAAAGTCAAAAAGCAATTCTCTTATTATCAGTGGACAGCTATTTGATGTAAATAGGGGACCTTTTTAGTGCCTGCTAGGAGGTACA